AAGCTGAATCAAAAAGAAAACGGAAATTGCGTAGTCTACACGCCCAAACGTTACAGCGATGCAATCAATAATTAAAAACTCAAGGTAAAACATATCAAACAAAGCTCCCTTCCCGACACCGTACGCCATTCTGCTCGTCGTGAATAAATAGTAAAAGTAAAGCGCGAAGACTACCCGAAATAGGGTAACGCTTACAATTTCGTCCATAAAGATTGGTGGTATACCGATGATCTGATAGAGAGGACAAAGGCGAGGTTGTGTGGGGCCGGTCCATCCACCCTCCCATTTGGCTGATTCTTTAATCAGCGAGGAGTAAGGGGTAAGAGACACAGTCTGATCCTTCAAAGTCCTGCTCATCCGTCAAATAATCCGAGTCGGGGTATTTTGCCAAGGAGGAGAGGCCAGGGTATTCCGCGTTCCCTTATGGAATACCAGTTCATACATTATGCAACACCTAGACATGGATGCGCCCGTTTAGGTAACCCAGCGGTAGCTGGCATATCGGCCAGCCGTTTCACTCTTTCTAATGATCTTCACAACCTGTCCTCGTCGCAGACCTAGGTATTTCGCCACGGGGTCTCCACTCTGGATACGCGGAAGCTGAGATTCCTTTAACCGATATCGTTGAAGGAGCCGTTTCTTCTCCTCCGCACTTAGAAGAACGTGCTTGGGTACTAACTCGTGATGTGTAATGTTGACTAGGAGTTCCTGTTCTTGAAAATGTTCGCAGAAACGGCCTGGTATACTATTGAGAACTCGTATGGCGGATGGGGAAATTGGCGTTTGGCTAATGAAGATGCCGGTGTGGTAGTTTTGTTCGTCTATGAAATGGTTAAACGCACGGACTTGTTTTGTTCCAACGCTGTGTATATCGGGACAGAATTCAACGTAAATAGTACCGCACTCGGGGACTGGGTTTGGTTTTAAAGTTGTGGGGAGGGGAGTGTATCTGTCCATCATTGCCTGTGAAGGCCGGGCGCTGATTTTCATCTTATTGCGACTATCCACCCACCGCAAACCAAGGCGATCAGTACTCTGTGCAGGAAGAGCAAAAATCGGTAATAACACGGAAACACATATTGTCACGTACTCAGGAAACCCAAGCGCGTCTGAATATCGCGTTCTGAACTCGTCGAGAGGAATTTTTATCTCTTCTTCGGTCACTTCGTAGCCCTGAATACAACACCCAAAAGCGTATCAGCAATCGCACATATATAGGGGGCGCGAAACGGGAATTAAGGCATACCCGATCAGCCAGCATCTCGAAAACTGTTCTCCATGTGCGCCAGAGCCTCGTCATCTCACGATCCGCGTCCGCAGACGCCCTCGAGTATTCTTCATCCGCCATGGCGAGCTAGGCTCGTTTGCCGTGTTCTGTAAGAAGCGGTTTAGCCTTGGAACAAAATAAAAATACAGAGCGAAGGAAGCAGACCAAACCGCGTGTATGGCGGAGGCAAGCAATAGGTTTGACGTGGAGGCTGATGTTGGTGGAAGGTGTAGAAATGTCAATGTCAATGTCTGATTTTTTTCTTTTCGGTGGTGGCTTGGTTTGGCTGTACTTTCTCGAAAAATCGATGCAACGCCCAAAGAGGCTAGGCGCACAGGCCACCCCGTTGTGTTGCGGCCAGATTTATTCCCCGTGTTGATTTTTTTTTCCCCTTTTCACCAGATTCCGCTGCCGTCCGCCCTGTCGTTAATATTCTGTAGTGCTGCAATCTCAATTCTCATTGCCAGGTTCGCGGTTTGTTCTTTATACTACAACCCACTTAGGCATTGAACAGCGCTACGTTGTTCTACGGAATTCATTACGGCACGATCTACATTGGTTCTGTCCAGCACATCTGTCCACAATGGCCGCTGATACCAAAGCCCAGGCTCCGTCGGATGGGCACAAGACAAGGCCTGAGAATCCCAGCGAAGAGGCCTATAAGGCTAATCTGGCTCGTGCGGAGAATGAATTGGCCTCTATCCAAAAGAGAATGGTACGTGTAACCGCCGCTTTCTACGTGCTGCGCCTTTCCTTGGCTTGATACTGACTGTAGACCATATAATATAGGAAGAGATAAAGGCCAAAATCAATGTGGCCAAACCAAACAACCAAGACTCTCCAACCGCTAAGAGGGCTCAGGAATTGCGTGCTGAACTTGCCTCAATCCGTCAGCAACAGCAGGGTTTCAAGGCCTCTCGAAACAGTATCCAGGAAAAGATGAATGCTCTTGAGGCCAATATCAAATCCCGTGTTGCTGAACAAAAGGCCTCGCGTTCCCGCATCGCCTTCAAAAGTGTTGATGAAATCGACAAGGAAATCCAACGGCTCGAGAAGCAAGTTGATTCAGGCACCATGAAGTTGGTTGAAGAACGGAAAAACCTCGCTGAAATCTCGAACCTCAGAAAGCAACGAAAGGGTTTCTCTGGCTTTGAGGAATCTCAAAAAGTTATTGACGACTTGAAGTCACAGCTCAGCGAACTAAAGAAATCCCTGGACAATCCAGAGGCCAAGGCCCTGAGCGATAGATACTCCACGATCCAGCAAGAGCTAGACGCCATGAAAGCTGAACAGGACGCTGCTTTTAAGAACTTGAACGCTCTTCGGGACGAGCGCACAAGGATCCATGGCGAGCAGCAGAAGGCGTACACCGCAGTCCGGGAAATTAAAGATAATTATTACAAAGCGCGTAGAGCATATAAGGAGTACGAAGATGAACTTTACCGCATTCGTCGAGAACGCCAGAAGGCTGAACGGGAGTCATATGAGCGGGAGAAGAAGAAGAAGATTGCTGATAAAAAGCTGGAAGAGGCTTCCCGGCCAGCCTACACTGATGAGATCCTAACCGCCCAGGGCCTCATTCGACACTTTGACCCCTCGTACGATTTCTCTACTTTGGGCCTGGAAAAGGATAAGAAGGGACGAGGTGGTGGTTACCGTGCCGAAGTGGGACGCACTGTTGATGCATCTGATCTGAAGGGCATCAAGATCATAAAGAAAGATGACCGAGAGGAAAATTACTTCATGGGAGGCACTGGCGGAAAGAAGGGCAAGAAGGGCAAGAAGAACTCGGCAGCCAGCTCTCCAGCTCCCGCCCAATTCAACCTCTCTTTTGGTGTTATCGAGGATTTGGCAAGCGTCAAAGCAGACCCCCCAATGAGCCAAGCGGATGTTCCAGCCCTTGTTGCAAAACTAGCTGAGAAGATCACCAACTGGAAGGCCCAGCAGGCCGCTAAGACCGCTGAGGTAAAAATTTACTTTTTCAGCGGTAGAGCCCAGTATGCTTTTAGTCGTGCAGCGAAGCTAACTTTTTTTTCATAGAACATCAAGAAGGCCCAAGAAGAAATCGACCGCCTCGATGAGGAGGATACAAACGCCAAAGAGAAGCAAGCGACAGATGCTGCTCGCAAACCTGCTCTCCAGAGCGAGGGTGCTAATGGGCACGTCTCTGCTCCTGCGGAGCTTAAGCAGGAGAAAGATGCGGTCGCCCATGCAGCTGAAGAGCTTCAGAAAGCCTCCCTGGAGGTTTAAATGTGATAAACGACAGATCTAACCTGGCAGTGGAACCTACAGCCCCCGGTGCGAACCCAGCTCGTCCGTATAATTTTTTATTTTATTTTCCAATTCTTGGATATATCATTCGGTTGCTCGCCCTCCCTTTCTTTCTTTCTTTTTTCTTTTTCTTTTTTCTTTTTTTTTTCTTTTCTTTTTTTTCCTTTTCTTTTCTTTTCGTCCTTCCTTCTACAAACACAATGAGCTGGATGTACTCTTTGACGGCCTTCGTCTCCGCGCAGTGAACAAAAAAAAAAAAAAAAAAAAAAAAAAAGGGAAAAATAATAGTGATGGATTGTTTAACTCCGCTTTCTAGTTTGGTCATTTTTCTTGTCCTTGTCAGGCAACCCTGATAGCTAACATTGATACACTGTTTCTATATATATATCCATATATATATATGAATAGATACCTGTTTTGTCCCTGCTTTCTTGACGTGTATTACGATCATGTGGAGCTTGTATCCGTTTCTCCTCTTTTCTGCTGTCGTTTGTTTTCTCGTTTCCTTCCCTTTAGCATATTGTATTATTTTTTCAGTTCTGCTCCGATATCAGCGTATATAACATTGTTATCATTTTATTTATTCAAAGTCACTATAATATTCGTCTCTTTCTTTTCCGTTTTCCTATCCCGTTTTGATAACAGATGATACCAGGGCCCAGCCTTCACCCCGGGCCTATTTGCTCTATTCCAGTATGTTACGTTACTTTGCTTCCTTGAGGTGGCTTCGTAGGACAGGCTTGAAAGCGCTTTCCACTTGTCCACTTGAGACAATCACTCACTGCCTCTCAAGGCTTGTCAGTGCTTATTCCCCAACTTTATCCCGTTATTCAGCCGTCAACTCTGGCCAAGTACCTAGTTCCTCCCGCCATATTTCGACCATTTTCTATCCATCTCCAAAGGTTATCCAATATGTCCACCTACAGCGTCCCACACCGCACTAGTTGACGGCAGTGTATCATTTTTTCCATGGTAGATGGATATCGACTATACCCTTCCAAACACAAATCTGGCCCATGTTGGTGTCAACCGCTTTAATCCCCATCTCCGCCCCACCGACTAGGGTAGCGTAGGTCTGTCTAGCTAAATGCGCACTGGGAAGTCTCGATGTAGCTCTAGTGGGTACGTGTAGGTGTGTATAGCATACACACTTTGGTCGATCAGGCACTTGGATAGTATTCATATATAGTTAACGTACTACCCCCCACCCCAGACTACGACTCTATAATCGATAAGCGATGCATTGCCGGGCATGGCTCCGGATTCCTACAATTGAGAAGGCGTGCAGGTATCAATCAATTCCAAGTGTTCCACTTCCTTGGGTCATAAAGCAGTCTATCAATTATTGAACGGCCAAAGAGATCATTCGAAAACGTAATCGAGCAAGAAAGCAAAAATTAAAAGAGCGATGTTGGGAGACTTCCCTTTGAAGGACAGAATCGCGGGAATTACCGGCGGCGGATCAGGTATTTTTAACATTTACTTCCTAAACCCCCGAAGGATAAATAAGAAAAAAGCCCTCAAGCTAATCGATAGAGCGAAATTAAGGAATCGGCCTCTCCTTCGTCAAACAAGCACTATCCCTCAACGCCAAAGTGCTCATCGGCGGTCTAAGACTTAATGCAGAGGCTCAGAAGCTCGTTTCCCGGCAAAAATAATCTTAATAAGAATGGTGATTCCGGGCGCCATTCCGTATCCATAGCATTGTACCATGCGACGTAACGAAATGGGACGGGCTACAAAACCTGGTCGAGAAAGTGAGGGAGATATTTGGGGATATTCCAGATGTATATGAACCATATGGGGCGCCATCTTTGAGCCGGTCTAGTACCCCTTCCCTTCTCTTCCCATTACACGGTCATTCTTATCCTCCATTTTACCTTCATTATTCATTCCATATTATGTGGGCGGTCCCAATGTGTCCCAATTTGCCGACGCAAAAAGAAAAATCTGGAGAAAGGAAAGAAAGGAGAAAATCGGAGAGGAAAATCATATACAATACATCACGAACAAAAAACAGCAAGACAAGCCAAAGCCTATATTTACACACCTCCATCGCGTTATATATCCATGGCTAGCCCCGCTCCAATTTCTGGCTCGACAGCGAGCAGGAAGAAAACCGCCACGGAACGCTGGACACCAACATATCTCATATCTCATCCGATAAAATTCACGCGTATGGCGGTGCGCGCGCTGCTCGGGCGGAAGAAGCAGGGTGTTGTGCTGCTCATAGCCTCCGTTGCCGGGCTGGATGAGGTATATAGAGTAAGCCGCTATATGCTGCATCTAATCATGCAATTGTAGGGTTTGTGAAATCCATGGCGGTAGCGGAGCAGGGTTAAGGTTGTTGGGATCTGTCCGGGGTAATCTTTTTTTTTTTTCTTGTTTTCTCTGCGGTTCCTGATTGCTAGCTAACTTGGACTGGGAAATTTGAAAAGAATCACCGACACCCCTATCTGGGACAACGACGAAGAATTATTGTCATACTTCTGGTCTGATAGGGCACAGATGCTGAGGCCGGAGCTCAGCGCCGCATCCATGGTGGATCTAATTCAGAAGGGCGAATATACCTGTGGTGCTATATTTTTGGAGGCTGGGGAGGTTAGCAAAGTATCTTTAAGGGGTTTGATAATGATCCTGGGAATATTGGGAAGATAGAGGCGTTGCCGGGAGTGAAGACAGTTGGCAAAGTGATGAAGAGTGAGATGGAGAAGTTATGATAACCTCTAGAATTTTATGGCGCAATTCTTCTGCTTGATTTTGTTTTCTTTGTTGGGTTTTTATTTTTATTGTTTTTGCTCTTAACCATCGTAAAAATCAGGGTACGGGACGGGGAGTAGTTGGACATTATTAACATCTGAGTTAAGTTACGAATGATGACTGAAACAAATAGCTATTATGATTGCCGGAACAACCAATTAGTTAAAAGACGCTCTTTGCCGGGTTATGTACAGACCTGCATTCCTTGCCCTAGAATGGTTGGTAACACAGAAAATACCAATAGGGATAGGTGAAGGTTGTCCAATCATGCAATGCTCGTGAGGTAATGAATTCGGTGTCTGGAAGTAAAAGGTTCTAGATATATTAGATATATTGGTAGCGTAGATATAGAAGAACTACACTAGGGATCCCAATTAACTCATGAAAATGAAGCACTGTCACATGAAAAAAAAAGAGGCCTGAAAGCATATTAAATAAAATTGTATTCATGAGAGGTACAGAGTATGGTATACATGGAGAAGTAGAGATACGAACAACAAGCGGTAAAAATAAATAGCAATAAAACAAGCAGGGACAATCGTTGCATATGAGCCATTTCTGCGCCTAGAAACAAATCAAAAATCAAAAATTAAAAATAAAATAAGGATAAGGAAAATAAGGAAAAGAAGTATAAAAGAAATGTTGATAGTACGGCGGGAGGGCTTGCCGCAAACTCCATCTATGGATCAGGCACCACTCCCTATGCACAATCTCCTGACGAACAGAAGTATATACCAACAAAACAGGCCCCCCGAATAATACATAACACATGTATACTATCCGGGTTTCTCCTCATCTCGTCTCTGCATCGCTTAACAAGGAAAGAAAAAAAAAACAAGAAAAAACGAAAAAAAAAAGAAAAGAAAAGAAAAGAAAATGTTTAAAACAGAATATCCAAGCAGCAGCAACACGCCAAACCGGCTAACAGGCCGGCACAGAGGCCGCCTCCCGTTCCGCGACTGCTACCTCTATTGTCGACATAATGTCCTTGAGGCGATGGCCCGCCCTGGGGTGCATAGTACATAGGTTGTTGCTGGTAACCCTGTTGTGGTGGATAGTATTGCCCTTGTGGTTGGACGTACTGTTGGGGCTGGTTGTAGTAGTCTGCAGCGGCGGATTGGGGTTGGCCATATGGACCTGGCTGGGGTTGATAGGGCCCTGCATCTTGGTGGACGGGTGGTGGGTAGGATGGGGGAGCACCGGCTTTCTAGAGACGTTTTAAGATAGAGTTAGTATTGGGATGGGTCTAGGGGGGAAAGTTGCATGTTGGTTTTGGCATTGGTGTTTACGAACGTCAGCCATTTTTTGTTCTTTTATTGATGGTAGTAGGTAGAGTTGTCTCTCTTGCTTTTCCACTTATTTATTTTGTGAGATAGTTTATGAAATGTGCTCTCGACAGTTATCTGCTTGGGTGGATCTGGATCCCCGAGGGGTTGACTATAGTAGGAGTGGTAGCGGGATGGCACGGTATACGCGGTTGAAAGAAATAGAGCAAAAGGTTGGATATAGAAACGTTTGATCGATGTCACAGAAGGAACTGGAGGAGCAGAAAGATAAATGTGACCAATATATGTGGAACCGAGGATCGGCTTTATTATGGCGGGAGATTATTATTAGCGTTGGAGGAGCGAATGACTAATCCGCGTCTGGGCCTAGTGGCGCCAAGATGGATGCCAAGCCACAGCCCACAGCCACGCTGCCCGTGTTCAGCCGCGTCATCATTGGTGGGCCAGGCAGTGCAGTGCAGGCATCCGAGATCTGCGCCGGACTGTGGCCGATGCGATGGATGAAGCATGAAGCTCGCTCTCTGTGATGCCAACCAGGCCAAGGATTAATAAAAGTTGATAGAGATTTTTGTGCGAGCTGCATACGCAGTACATACATACCACCATCATGGGTAGCGCGGGGTTAGATAACACTACATTTGGATACGCTGTAGAAATCAAAATCTCCCGGCCGAAATAAAAACCGAGCATACGCTGTACGCTGTAGTTACGCTGTAGTTACTCCGTAGTTATACACCTTTGAACATGGTGCCAAAAGAAGTTGATCATGACCCACTTTTCTGGACCACAATGTTCAATTTTAGCACACTCACTCCACACCTCATACATAATAATACAACCCATATTACTGATAAAGACTGACTGTCCTCATTCCCCTTCTCAGTATCCAGCTTCTTATTAGTGTGTAGAGATGTAGATTGGAGGGTTAAAAACTGGAATTAGTATTAGAAAGACCTAGAATAGAATGAGTTAGAATCTCAAGAAATATGAAAAATCAATATTATTGAGAGAGTGTAGAGATAATAATGTGCGGGATATGTCTAGTACCACGTACTTTAAAAGCTAATGGGGAGTATACTGCCATGGGTCCACAGTTGAAATTGGTTGGAACCATTGCTCAGCTGCACCATGTTCAGTTTTGTTGGCAACCACGTTCAACTGTAGCCCGATAAAAAACCTTCACATCCAAATGCAGTCACCAGGTAATATCCCGATTTCCCTCTCTTGCCTGACTTCAAACCAACACATGCATTGCCAGAAGATATATCCCCTACAAAATTTTGAGAAATGTACATTAAAATCAAATCATTAAGAACAACCGTATACCCCTAGGTAGTGTCAAAACAGGAAAACAGAACCACTCAAACATCCTTAGAACGCCTCTCGTTGGATATCATAATAAACACGGGGAAAAAAAGAAAGGAAAGGCCCATTCTTATCATCGTCAACAGAAGCCAAGATGATTCGCACTCGGGCATGAAAGAACAACCGGAGAGGAAGGCGGAAAGAAACACCAGATGGGCTCCTAAGCACACAATAGCCGTATTGTGAAATCTCGGATTCCTCACCCAGAGACCTGGACGATGGTTCAATGATGTGTCTCAAAATCTCGAGACCCTGACCATTTTTGGATAATTCCAACATTCGATCAAGAAGAAAGGGCGAGCGAGGTTGAATACAGGGCAACTTTGGGAGTGACTTCTTGCCTCCCTTTGTGGGTCAGCCGCGAGTCATTGCCGCAGCATTCTCCCTGAATATCGGATTCGGTGAAAGTGAATTTTATATGCAAACAATGCACTCCGGTCGAAAAAGCAGCTGATACTCTCATCTCACAGATTCCATAACAACGCCTCAGAAAAACCCCCCCCTTTATTAATGCCGTGCCCGTCGACCAGAACCTCTCCCACCTCCATACTGGCGGGGATCAACAGTCCGGTAAGACCCAGTGCGTTTGCTATAAGACCTCTCCGATTGCGACGGCGTCGACAATTCCTCAAACACCTCCACAACATCCTCCCCCGATGATGGCGAAGATGCACTGGAACTGAAAACCTCAATCACCTCCGGCCGTCGTCGATGTGATTGAGGGCGGCGAGGAGGCCTGCTGTCGTCTGTCACTGTCGTCGTGTCATCGATAACAGTAGTTCGGCCGCCGAAAATGAGGAATAGAATCCATATAACTAGCACGAAGCCGCCGACTGTGCCGACTACTATACCCACTACTGTGCCGGGGGAGGAGGTGAAGGAGGAGTAGGTCGACGGGATTGATATCATGCGGTCGCGGCGCTGGAGGTGGGAGGAGGAAGATGATATCGATTGTGTTATGTCTCTGGTTTTGGCCATGAGAGATCTACCGAGGGAGGGTGCTGAGAAAGCATTGTGTTGGGATGATAGGGAGGCTCGTTTTTGTGGGTTAGACAAAGGATCTATCTGTGCGATATCTCGGGCGAAGTTTTGCAGGCTACCTGAGGCAGCTGTGAATAATGGTACAGGCGCCATTTTGTGGATAGGATTTGGTATTGACCATGAGATACCAAAAATGTATTGAAATAGTCACGGGTTTGTCTCATATGTAGTTAGCAGCAATTTTTTCAGATGCGTTTCTGGGAAGAGGGTCGGTGAGTCTGGGAGGCGGGACGTCCAAGGATGTATATAGGTAGTAGATAAAGAAGGGAGCTGGCTGTTTTGGAGGGCAATTGTGACGTAGTTAACTAAACAGTTAGTTATATACTAGTAAAGGTGAAAACGAGTGTTGATACAACAATGCCAACAGCAGAAATGAGAGAAGAATAAAAAGATGAAAAGAAGCAAGGCTAGAGAAAGAGAACAGAGAAGAAAATATGAAGCTGGGTGCAATTGAGATCGAAGATGCAGCCGGGTTGGCAATATTTCTTGATTATTCTAATATTGGTTCCCAGCCTCATGTTTATTTGCGAATGGCGGGGGATGACATAGAGGGCTTGGCGTATCCTGGGTGGCTGATTGGTCGTGGCTAGTGCTGCCAAGACATTGCCCTACATTAGGCAAATCTAGCGATCACCGGCTGGGCGCAATCATAGAGGAATAGAATATATAACAAGGAGGGAATTTTATAGAAGCGTGAAATATTGAAGCAATACTCCGTATATGGGAGCTACCATTCATTTTCTAATCTCACAATATTTACAGCTAAATCTGCTAAGGGAAAAAAAAAAAAAAAAAAAAAAAAACTCTGCTCCTTCGCGCTTCTTCCAGGCGGGGCCATCAACAAGAGTGAGTGACATCCCGCATTCCTGTCCTAACCGCCTCCCGATACTCCAGAACAAGACGCTCAAGCTTGGCTCCTTTCCCATCCAACGCCCATAGCGTAATGCCAACCGTGTTCTTTCCCTGATAATTGAGGATGCCATGGGGGATAGGGAAGCTGGTCTGTGGACCGAGGTTGCTGACATACTTGCCAAACTGGAATCCGTTCACGTATAGCTATACGCGGTACGTGGAAGGTGACGAGTTGATTCCTGGGAATGTGAAATACAGAGGCACATCCCATCCGCGTGGGATATTGAGATTAAATTCCGTGGTTAAATTCCGTGGTGAAAAAACCTACTCCCGCACCCACCCACAACGCCGTCGGTAATGGGGCTTGCAGACTTCCAGGACTGGGTGGGGGGGGGTTTGGTTGATGCCAGCCCTGTCGCTCAATGTATAGACCCCCCTCATTCAGTGGTCCACGGAAGCGATCTTGGTAATCCTCTCCGCCTAGATTGCCCGCCAACTTCCAAGTGACCCTTGACTGCAGGCGTCCGAAAAGTTTGTAATGCTGAATGCCGCGCGGATTCTTTGTAGAATCCGCACCGATGACGTAGTCCTGACCTAGACTCATGTTGTCGACGAGCATAGTGAAAACGTATTTCTCACCGGCTTTCAGTTTGGGGAAGGAATATATGTTGGTGCTGCTTGCTCCCAAGATAGCTCTTGCCCTTCCAGGATCCAATGTGACTCCCATTGAGCCATGCTGAATTCCCAAACCCAAAACCGCCTTGCGTCTCAAAGGAGATGCCCGTCTCAATTCCACTGGCGACGAAGTGTCCTCGATAGACGAGGTAGCCCGTATGGTAGCCATAGTCCGAGGCATGCAGGGAAGTCGGGGTCGTAAGTGGGCGCAAGGTATTATTGGTCTTCTTATGATCAGCAACAGTCCATAACGAATCGTCATAATCCTCCTGGAGCTCCGGTAGCGAATCGATGTACTTCCATTCCAGGCTCTCCAAGTCTGGGAGGTCAATTTTCAGAGCCACATATTCAATTGAGGTGGTCTAGATGCCATGGTCATCCACTTTATGTACGACTTTTTCTCCATTGATATGCAGTGTGCTAGTGTTTTTTGGAGCACCGATGATCTCAATTGGCGTGGTGGTGTTAAAATCTGCGGTAATATGAAGTTCACTTCCACGAACGAAAGCAGTCCGCACTAGGTATCCAGCCTTTACAATGATTGAGGAAGCGGTGTTTTCAAACGTGCTGAAACCCGGGGTCTATCCACTGCGGGGAACTTTAGGGATCTAGTAGTTATAAGTAGAGTTGCGGTCTATATATAGGTTTCATTAGCATTTTGGGTTTCTTCTTGATAACGCCTCCCCGTTCTGAAGGACATATGCTTACCGAGTATGAAAACAGACAGATCGCCAATATCCACAATGCGGCGTTCCCGCATCGTCTCCCAGTTAAGAACAACATAATCATCCACTTTCTTGATTGTCATATCATGCGAGGGTCCTTCAACCAGAAGCTATCGAGCTCGTGGACACAGCAAGCTCATGGCGTTCATTTTCCCCGCCGTAAACAACCAACACCTTGCGGTCCCCAAACTTCTTCCATGTGAATATCTCGGCAGTCGAGTAGAAAATATTTAGTTCCCGCGACGTCGTAGTCTGTAACGTAGATTTTAGAATCTCTGCCATTTAGTGTCAAAGTGCCGTTTAGTTGGGGCATGATCAAGCGCCCAACACTTGTTGGGAGCTTCAATTTGTAGTTCGTTGAAGCTTTTGAGCTGTATTCGGAATGCCTTAATACAAAAAAGGACGAATCGGACAACCTTCCGATCAGTGAGGTGACTGTTAATGTTGGTGTGGTCGTAAACTTTGAAATAGACCAATGGCCAGGAACGGCATTCATGAAGGAAGGTGACGCTTTCATAAAGTTGCCAATCAGCCTAAGTTCGCCATATTTTTCGCGGGTGATGTTGCGGTCTTTCAGATATAGGAGCCCCGTAGTCGTATGATGTGTAGCCTCCTGGATGGCCCTAGGTTTCCCTAGTTTGTTCCACCAAAAGTCGATATGCAACAATTAGAGAATGCATTTAAAATGAAAAAGCGGAAGACGGAGAATACAGGAGGGAAATAGTCACACGTACCATGTAGAGATTCAAAAATACATTCCCAAAGCTGAAATTGTTCTTGTAGAAGACTCTTTAGAACTCGCGGTTCAGAAGTCGAGCACATTTATCAAGCCCAGCCCCGCCCCAAGGGTCATATGCCCCAGCCTGGAACTAATCTTCTATCAGTAAATGAATACAATATCTATTTAGGAGCTGCACATACCTCGACAAGGGCGTAAGGTGTGATGGGACTTTGGATGAGGTGGAGCTGCCGCCAATGGGTGGACAAAAATCTAGGAGGCTAGAAGTCGGGATTGGCCTAGAACAAAGTTAGAATCAGATATAGGAGAGTGAATAGATTCCCACAACATACACAATTGAACCCAAGCCTTCGCAAACAAATTAGCATTGCATTATAGAAGTTTCTTTTTCGGATGGCTTCAGCAACTTACGGATATTTATCGTGGCCGTAGATGTCAACCTCACCCTTCCCTGTCCCAGGAGCGTTGTTACCAGCAGCCCATGCATCGTTGCTAATCATGGGCACCACGATCCCAGCCTTTCTGGCTTGATCAATTACGTATTGCATATAATCCCCGTCGGGAAAATCATGGATGCGCAGGGAGAGTGTATGCTCATTTTCTGGCTGGTATAATATCACTGGTCCCCCGTTCGTGATTTGCGCTTTGGCCACTGGTGACGCAATATGGGCGATATAACTATTTTCTATAGTCAGATATTTTTGTGCGGGGAGGACAAAGAGACATAGAAGCAAAGGGAGTACTTGTCTGTTGCAGCAAGATAATCCTTATCGCTAGTCCGAAATTGGCCTCTCACGCGTTGTAGCCAGCCAGGAAAACCCCCACCAGACACTTCTGCGTTGATGCATGGGCCAGGTCGAGCAAGAGATATATCCCAGCTTCGGTGGCCGCCTCAAAGAATGGTTCCCAGGCGAAGATGCCCTCGGCTGTGTATTCACCAGGTTTTCCCCCGGTCAAGGCCCAGTTGGTATAGAAAGAGACACAATTGAAACCGAGGGCTTTGATATTCTGGAAAATATCGAGCCATAGTGACGGAACGGGCAAGCTCCATCGAAATGGTCAGTCCCATAAATGACTAGCTCGAGGAAAAACAGGGGTGCAGGGGTGCAGGGAAGGATGAGGAGGATTTAACATCCGTTAAACATACCGAAACGGATGGAATTCAGCGCTAAATATCATGATCCTTTCTCCATTGATGAACAGAGATTCATTGTCCCATTTTACCTGCTATAGGTTAGAATAGCTGTGATCGATTTCAGGGTATCCTAAGAGCCACAAACAATATCTTGAAGCAAATCACGCTTTGCAGGATCCGGATGCTCAATGACGGTGAATCCTCCCAGCTTACGGTCCACGACAACAACAGCAGCGGACTGAAGTGCCAGGAACGCGATTGCGCATGCAGAAAGGAACCTCATGGTTGCGACTCGAAGTGGCCCTAGACTACAGGGAATGAGTAGAAGAGTCGTCCCAGCTTTTCATCCGAGCGGCGCCATCGCCGTATTCTTATATTCGCCCCTCCAACGCACGCGAGACCCAAGCGTGACCCTGGAAACCAAGGGGGATAACACAAGGGAGCGCAAAGGGTATGGTATGTGTTCATAGCAGGATCTTCCATTACCTAGGGTTCACTGTCCCCAATAAATGAGAAATAGGGCGCCGTTGTACTTGTACCCCTAGCTTCCTCCACATCCTTAACTCCATTGGTATAGCAGGGCTGATTCACATGGGGCGTTTTGTGGAAGGGACCTAGGTATCTAACACTTTATATAAGCCTAATAAGCCCTCCACTGCCGTGACTGATGTAGATCTTCCCAGTATGATTGCAATGAATTGAAAGCGTTGACACCAGTTTTATCCAGAACATCCTATTTGAACGGTTAGAATTGATCAGAAGCTATCACACATTGATCTACTAACCATATTTTCCACTATTTTGCTGTGCTTCATTCGTTTGAACTCTCTTAGAAATATGGTTATCATCATCATGCTCACGTGTTGAGCTGCCAGTTGGGGAGCAAAGTTGAACGGACGTCTCCAAAATCCCCAGATGCGAAGACAGGACTGGACAAACCCTGAATTTAGCAAGGGGCAACTTGAACGAGCTTCCGTGCCCTGTTACTTGAAAACGGTCGACGGTGTCGCGTTTAGTGGTGCATTAGCTTCCTTAAGTTAGATCCACAATTGAGACTACAGTTTATTGGAGGGGGTGAATAATGGAGTTTTTGGACGGATCAGCATCGTTCGTGCCATTACTGTGACGTTTACACACAGCGTGTGGAGTAAATTGCAGAGAATGAAAAGGGGGAGACGATTCCGTCTTGAGGCGGAAAAGGATAGCTTAATCCTTAAAACGGGATCAAGTCTTTCTTAGGCCCAGAGTTGATTCGACCGGCAATCTGTAGCGTACGGCATTTCTAGACCCTCCCTCGGTAGTTGGCAATTGACTTGGCGATGTCGCTCATCGGATTCATCTGCCGAAACATAGAACGTGGAAATATGACGAGTGATGAAAATTATCATGTGGCTACACGTAGATACAAGCGGCCAAGGATTAGAAAGAGGGGATCGATGTGCAAAAGGTACAAAGTTTTTGAACATAAATTGCTGTATATAGTTATATATCTACACTGCCATGGTCACATCGCCAGCCTTGTCCTCTTCCACTGGTCGAGGAGTTTCTGTGTCATCCGCTGGAGATCGCACATCAGCGACGTCCTCAACTGGAGCATCTGTAGGTGCGTCCACCGCATCGGATGTTTGATCGAGCGTTGCAGCCGCAGCTTCTTTGCGCTTCTGTGTCATATTCACCAGTGGAGTGTCATCATCGTATAATCGCAGTAGCATGGCACGCCGTTCCTCCTTGGGCAGCATCAAGTTCAGCGAGAACATGCTTCTCCATAGCGGAAGAACCATACGTTCGCTAAGTGAAAAATTAGTAATAATTACCAGCAATGCACAGATTCACGAGTGGAGACATACCGGAAGCCATCTTCATTCTCTGTGGGCTCGATTCTCAGAACACAGCATCCCATGTCAACATCCCTCGCCCATTCGCCGATCTCTCCTAGTTGCCTCCAGCCATTATCGTTTACCTTGGGGAACATCTCAATTAATAGCTTCCGCAAGGTTTCCTTCTGATATATTTTAACCACACGGCGCGGTCCAACCCAGGATTCAAGAATTGCAAGTCCGTCGGTCTGGATGCGCCACGGGCAGACGTCTTGATGCTGCACATATTGCTTAACAAACATCTTGACGCCGGAATGTACAAACTTTATTCCAGCCCCTTCGTTGGCGGTAAGGATATCACGAGCTAGGGTGCTTGTATAATAGATCGTCTTAGCTGGGCGGCCTTGGGAATTTCGAACCATGAAACGATCCCTCGGGAACTGAGGCGATATGTCATAAAAGCTGAATATCTGATCAAACTCTTCGCTCTTAGGATGTAGATATTTGAATGGTTCCTCCATCGGTTGGCCAGGTCTGCGTTTTGCGGGGAGAGAAGGCGCTATAGATTCGGTTGGCTTATGTTGCACAGATTCACTTGGCCCTGCATCCCCTGGAGTTGGCGGAACTTCTTGTGCGCTCTGGTCGGTTTTCTCTTCAGGAGCTTTCGCAGGAGAGGGAGCTGAAGGAGGTTCAGGGTGGCTATCCTCCACCTTTTGCCGCTTGTTTGCAGGATCTTCACTCGACTCGTCAAAGGCCCTCTTTGGCGCGCTCGGAAGAACCGTTGCAGAAGCCGTGAATGATTCGTTGGGGGCTAGTTTATCCGATACAGCACCCGCCTCAGAGGGAGCCGGGGTTCCGTCTTGGTCGGCCGTATTTTCCATCGTACTTTCGGTTGTTGAAGATGCAGTAGACTTTTTAGTTCCTTCAGGTCTTGCTTTGATGTCGCTCATCTTTTCAAGCACAGTGATGAAGAATGCCCCTGTGTCTTGCTGATGGGGATATACGCGCATACATCGGGATAAGTCGATTCCTTCCTCCTTCAGAGGAGGAAACATGCCCTCCACTATCCTATTGAGCGTATCATCACCTTGAGAGACTGCTTCTTCGACGTCTTTCCAGCTGCTCCACGTTCTTCCTTGTTTGTCCATGATGGTCCAGCTTGACAGACCCGGAGACCTTTTCAATGCAGGTAACTCGTTACTGCAATCCATGATATGAACCTTGCTTGGGCCACCACACCTGTCAATAACACTTGCGATCACCGCTTCGTTTTCCACAGGGTTCATGCTGCAAGTCGAATATACCACTCTTCCCCCAACCTTCAGCATTTGTAAAGCTCGAGTCAGGATCCGGCACTGGGTCAGGTGAAGGCCAAGCGCATTGGCAGGGTTCCAGTCTTTCCATACATTCACATTCTTGCGGGTAGTTCCATCACCTGAGCAAGGGACATCAGCTAGGATGCGGTCAAACTTGAGGTATCTGTTCCTCACTGGTTTCCCTTCCGGTGGGGGCAGCGATGGCAGCTTAAGAGAAGGATACATCGTAGCGTCGTGATTTGTAACGATTAAATTGGGAGAGTTGAGACGTTTCATCTGATGAATTAGTAAATGGGCGCGTTTATAATCGTTATCGTTTGCGATAAGTAATCCCGTCGATCTCCCATCATCCTCCAAACCATCTGATCCCATCTGGCCGTTAAGCAGCTTAGGAATGTCTGCAGTTCCCTCTTTTCTTTGAGCCTCAGCGACAGATTCAAGCCTCTTGGCAATCTCCGCCATCCTCTCCTCTTCTCCCGCATGTACCAACTCCATCAATTGTGCGGACTTGCTGCCTGGAGCAGCACACATGTCCAGCACTGTCATTCCCGGGCGGACGTCGAGCACCAGCGGAGGAATCATGCTCACTACTTCCTGGCGGCTGATATTTCCAACATCTGTTTCTGCGACCAGAAACTTCTGAAATGAAGCAAATGGTGCAAATCGGCGTATCACACTTTTTGGAGTTGTCATCGACCATGCTAATTGGTCTGGGTACCAAGGTACAGGCTTTGGTGGGTCAACAGGGTTGCCTTCATGTGTGATGGACGTAATCTTAGGGATATAAAAATCCTTCAAGCGTTCTTGTACCGCGAGCGCATGGCTGTATTTAGGAAAAATAACAGAAAAATCAAAAAGTCAGCTCCGTCGCATAGAACTTAACAGGGTCTTGTAGAAACTCGAAGCTTGTTTGTTACCTTTTGGATCCTGTGAATCGGAAGCTGTTAGGCAAATTTCGTCTGAGAGCAGCCCAGAAATCATCCTTCTCATCATCAGGAACAATATGGAGGCCGTTGTAATAGTTTTCATATTTTTCGTTCTCCCTCACTAATATCGTGGAGTAATTTGGTCGACGACCGCGATTGCCTGCGCCACCACCACCCTTAAACCAATGTGAGCATGCGGGGTATGATAATGAAATAGGTAAGTATATCTTCATGGAATTGGTTCAGGCTTACCTTTTTATTCCCGCGTTTGCCCATAATATTGCGTGCTATTGGCCTTAGAATTTTTCGATCCCAGCATCCACAGATCGAGCTCGAATTTTTGGGCTTGGAGGAGCACTGCCGGAACAATGGTCGGACCGAGATGCCAGCTGCAGCCGGACTTCAAATATAATAATCTCGAAGTTCTCCCACTGTCGGATTCCAGTGAGTAGTATTACTTTAGCATTTGAAACGAAAATGACACCGGTACTGCATAAGGCTAGCTCTGACAACTTTTTTGCCTTCAATTGCCGAGTACTGGAAGGAATTGGCCACCGCAAATTTCACGATTTGTGTACTCCGTATAATGCCCGCCAAGATGAGAGTGCGGAGTACAACTCGAATTCTCTTTGCATCTTTGCAGCCTTCGATAAGAAACCAATATGACAAATACCAAATGAGCCTGATACTAGTTCAGAGGAAACCTGGTCAAGAGCCAGGACTGCATTCATACCTGCTCCAACAGCTTCAAAATCACTGTTGGTGACAATGTTTTTTTTTTTTTCCTAGGATAAGAATAGCAACATTGCCAGCCTAAGCAAGCCTCATAAGTCCCACCAACATGTTTCTAGCCAACATTGAGAACCTTATAGTGTTGATTTATTTTGATTTAACATTTTCGAATTGACTCTCACACAGCAGCCCTCAGCGCCAACAAAGCTATTATTAAAATATTGTATGCTGGTGTCAGCAATACTATCAATTCAGGAATTAAAGGGGGAGCATTGGGAAGAACATTCCTCAACCGCGCCGGAGTCGACTAGCAAAGGCTAGTTAGTTAGCTGTCCTGTCCCTTCCAACCACAAACATTTCCACCACAACCTGCAAGCCCCACGGGCCGCCGCATGCGGTTCCAACCCCTCCAAGCGATTTTCGAGCGGTTTAACAAGCCGAGAACAAAAAAGGGGGAAGCGGAGAAAGAAAATGACAGTTTTCTTCGTCCTATAGGATCCTTGAAGACGCACGATGTTGTGTCAGCCAGAAACAAGAAGAGAACCCCCAGAATGATTGATATTTACACTCGGCCAAGAGACACTACATTTTTATATATTTAGCGTATACGGATACATAGTCATGCATTCAAAATAACTCCGCTGTAACTAGTTTCAAAGTAGATCTTGAAGTCAAGAAGGACTCTGCAACGTATGTACAAGTCTTTCAATAATGTCTACTACTATCTAGAAAGCTCAGATGGAGAGCTCTTTACTGGCATTCAAACCCTATATATGTTTAATCACTCAGAGGATGTCAGAACTGTCCCATACTCTGACTGAGTTGTAGAACTGACAATCTCAGATAATTCTATTCTTGTGTTCTTCTTCTATCTCTCAAGATCTCTCAAAAAGGCTGATTAATCTTCTGATTTAAGAAACAGAATTGTCATATTATTCTATTTAGACATTCTGTGAACTGTACTCCGTAGAGAGAGTGTCTAATGTATTAATAAGAGCTGCAGACCACACAGGGGGGTGGAGAGAGGAGATGGGGTGGGATCTGCTTTGGAACACTAGTTATTTTTGTATGCAAAGCTAGTTATGTAGAACACTAAACCTATAAGAAAGTAGTTGCCTCTTGGCCGGGTGTAAATATCAATCCTTCCCTCCAGCCCAACATCTGAGAAATCACAGCAACTCCGTGCAGTTTACGATTTGGACATAGTCCCTTGCCAAAACGTTTCAGCAGCAATTATTCAATAATGGCAAAACCAAAGGACCAGATTGCTCAAGAGTCAACAATTGGCCCACTTCAACTCGTATGAGCGCGGATCGTCTCCTCTGGAAGAGCCGCATTGAATTTATTTATAATTGGACCAAGTATGCAGCCAAGGCACAACCAGCACCGGTGGAGCTGAGCTTTTAGCGGGCAGAATGGGTGACAGCATGGCGCGAAGAACTTTTTTGGGCACAATTTGGGTGTGGTACCGTCCACGGGTGTGATAACCAATTACGAAATGGGATAGGCGGCTGAACAGGGAAAGCAACAAAGGATTCGCCGAGCTCATACATTCTCACTCGGTGCTTTGTTGGGAAGTTGTGGTTGGGCCGGACGATATGGCTGTAGGGGGACTTGGGAGTCTCTCCTTAGCAAAAAAATTCCAGCCTGAAGCTCATTGTTCTCGAGCAGGGTTTCAAGCCCCACGAAGCCAGCTTTACGCTGTAGTCACCGATCCGAGTCAAGTCATAGATTTCATGAAAATTTTTCCCCTTAGCATTGTTAGCAATCACCGAGTCAACAATTCTTCCGGGGACGGTTGACTCCAAACCCAGCCTTGTCACCCCTGTCAGCGCGATAATTGGGGCTAAGCAGACGCGACCTCCAATAATTGGGTCGGCATTCCTCCAGTTGAGGCCTTCTTGGGCTGCAGAATGCGCAGCACGCCCAGCACCCGGAGCTGCATATGATTTCAAAATTTGGGAAGCCGTTCTCCCGTTCTATCGAGTTGGCTGGTGATCCTGCGAATCACATCGATGGAGGGGCCTAGGCACCGGGTCCATTTTTCTCCTCTCGGAATAATATATAGGGGTACACCAAGTCCCTGACACAGGTTGACTGAAGTGTTCACCTTTTCCCCCGAACTCTGTTAGCACCTCGCGGTTCTCTTTATTAAAACTTAGTCGTTTTTTATTCTGATGATCTCTCGGCGCCATTAGAGATACAGCATTCATTGAGGCTCCTTTGCCCAACCACTATTTTTTTCCTCGCATTCCCATAAATCAAACAGTAAAAATGGGTGACAAAATGGGTGCTTCTGTTGCGCCAGCGGGCAGGGAGTGGTCGCATGGCTTTTGGTCATGCTGCAACCCATTCGGCACATGTATGCTCCTGGATAACACTTATTCTATATATATGAGAAGAAATCTTAAAGCGCCGCTAACATTGCTCTTGGACAGGCTTGATGACTTACTTCTGTCCTTGCATGGTGTTTGGTAAAACCGAAGCTCGGTTGAAGGAGCCGGGCGCTAGTGAGCACAGTAGTATGAATGGGATGGTAAGGCGCAATTCGCCCTGTTCCAAGTACACAACAAACAGAATTGGACTCTACCCAACTGACGTTAAACTCCGGTCGAATAGTGCTGTGCTTGGGCATGCTTGGCCTACGTGGGTTGTTCGTGTATCCTCACAGCACTCCAGCGCAGCAAGATCCGGGATACTTACGGTATCGAGGGTTCAAGCGCGACCGACTTTTGCGCGTCATTCTGCTGCCCCTGCTGCACCATCGTGCAGAATTCGAAAGAATCCGTGACGAGAAACCAGCAGGCTGGAGCCTACCAATCGCCACCAGCCATGCAATATCCATAAATGGGCGCGATCCATGGATGTTTGAAACTTGCCCCAAATGGAAAAGAAAAAGAACGACGAGGATGGCATTGATGACGGGATTGCCGATTTTATTCCATGAGTTCTCTGCTATATTGTTTTCGCTATTTTATTTGCACGCTTTTTATTATACCTCCTACGCAATGATTGTCAATTTCCCTTATAATTCCTTCTATCTTTCGTTCTTTCGTTCGTGGAGGATGGTGCTTCACTGCCGCTTCCGCATGAGCTGGATAATCTTTGAATGGCTCATCTTGACTTTTATAAAGCCCTTGCTTAACAGGTGCTGCTTCACTTAACGTTGCCATACTTCCGTTATTTGATAGGTTAATGCTATTATTTATGAAGATTCATTTTAGTTCGATTCATCACAGTGTGGATCCAACCTTGGAAGTCCTCACATGATCCATGTCCTCGATTCGGAAACTTCTTGCGCTCAATAATAATAATCTAACGCTCAATCTAACAACCTAGTATCTAGTATAACGTACCCCCCAGAACCCTATCTAGGCAGGCATCTTCCGTCAGCAAGAGAACTTCGCTAGCTAGATTATAATACACGCAACATGAATCCTCCTACACAATCACCAGGCATTTACTTGGAACTGTATTGGTCAGATTAGCTAAGAAACAAGTTCCTTACTTCTGTACCGTACCTAGGCTATTCTGATGGGCGTTCGGCAGTCCTGCAAAGTTATCCAGGGCAGTTGAATGATTCGCGGGGTCTAAGCTAACCCCACCTCACTCACCCCCTCCCCAGCTCTCCTGCGGCTCCCCATCCGGCTATGGACGGTCAACCGCCCCTTACCGGGAGACTTGGAACTGTCTCCAACTCGCTACGTTGGTAATCATATTCCACCCTAACTACTTTTATAGGGCCACATCCCCATTGTTTGCATACGCCCTTCCCGCATTTTCTATTTATACAACCGCCTTCCCGCTGCAAATCGAGAATCTGGCCCCGTTACTCAAATTGAAAAACGCTTCATCTTTTTACGATAGCCTCCAACTTGATCTTGCACAATACGATGTCTCCTCCATCAGCTACCGCTACAGAAACAGCAGCCTCCGCTGCCGCTACCGTGCAGGTTAACGTGCAAGCGATGCCCGCATTTCCCAGACCACCAGTTTTTGAGGACAAGTATAAAGAGCGAGAATATCTTAAAGGGCGATTAGCCGCTGCATTTCGGATCTTCGGAAAATATGGCTTCGACGAAGGGGTTGCCGGCCACATCACGCTCCGTGACCCTGTTGATCCGACGACATTCTGGGTGAATCCCTTTGGCACGGCCTTCTCCCTCATTAATGCCTCCGATCTTATTCAGGTTGACCATGATGGAAAAGTGATTGACGGCGGGAAGGTCCGGCTGCTGAATACGGCAGCATATATGATCCATGCTGCGGTACATGAGGCCCGTCCGGATGTGATGTGTGCTGCGCACAGCCATAGTATCTATGGACGGAGCTTCTGTGCTCTTGGAAAGCCGCTGGATATCACTACCCAGGACGCCTGTGCCTTCTATAACGTGCGTGCTTCTTTTTAAACTCTTTTCTGTTCTTTGTAACTTATTATCTTCCATCCTCTGTTTTTCTGTGCTGCCCGTTTGTCCTTCGCGACGTCTTCCTATGGTCGGAAAATATATAGCAGTCCCGTTCTACACTTTCCTTAGCAGGAAATGCAAACTAACTCTTGTATGCTTTTCCTTGACGCATATTTTTTTAGGATCTTGCCATCTATAAACAATTCAAAGGCGTCGTCCTTGCTAAGGAGGAAGGATACAACATCGCAAACACTCTAGGCAACAAGAAGGCCGCCCTTCTGCAGAACCATGGCCTATTAACAGTGGGCAAGACGATTGAGGAGGCAGTCTTCTGGTTCATCGCCCTGGATAGATGTTGCCAAACCCAGCTGATGGCAGATGCCGCGGCAGCGGGTCGTGGAGGGACTACTGTTAAAATCGATGATGAAGATGCGCTCTTTACCTATAAAACCATTGGCACCCCTGCAGCAGGCTACTTTAACGCGAAACCCCTGTTCGATGTCATTCATAAAGAAACAAATGGAGAGTATTTGCAGTAAATGGCGGCCCATACCGGAGGCGGTAAAGCTTGCAGAATGATGGGGTGGATATACTAGGACATCAGGTGCCGTGAAGGCAAGAGAGGTGGCGATGGCTGGACTGTTGCGGGATTGAAATGGACAAATAGCGGCGTAGGTAAGGTTAAATATTTAATGGCGGATGATTAGGATGACCTCCCGCCACACAGTTAAGAATGTGTATATGAACGATACGAAGTGGGCATGGCCACCGAAAAATGAATACATCCAGCTCATGTTGAAAACTACCTACCAATCCCTACTACGCTCAGTCTTTGAAAATTATCATGATTTGTGTGTCCTTCTCCCGCCTAATTCCAACTTTCCAAAGGCTTCAAGAAATATATTTGTGTCACGTGATTCCATAGTGTCAAAAGCGGCTTAGGCCCTAACGAAAGCACCTCTAAGACCCATTCAAATTTTCAGTCTCGGAGTTTTGTTTTTCCTTAACTAGTTAGTTACAGGAAAAAAGTCAGATAAAAAAAATTCGGCGTCGTCTTATCATTTTCTTCCTATCCAACACAACCTCCCTTCCTCCTTTCCCCTTCACCCCCCCCCGTGTGTCTTTTATTCTCTCACTGAGTGGTGTGTGTTGCCTTATTCTTCCGTTGTGTTTTTTTGTGAACATATTTTTCCACCGTTTTAAACCCCTGTGTTACCCGCTCCAAGTGAACCTTTAGGATGCTTGGTTCCGTTCGTCGAGGCAACGTCCTCGCACGTACTCTACGAACATGCATTGCGCGGCCGGTTAGAATACAGGCAGGCATTCAGCAGCCGATAAACACATTCCGGGTAGCTCAACAACAGTCTATCCTGCCGACGAGAAGTTTCCATGCGTATCCAGCCCTTAGATCTTCTCAAGCAGCCAGCGCAGTTAAGGAAGCTGAAGAAGCACCCTGCGAGCTCACTCAGTTTTCTGAACTGGCCTCCAATGGATTGATCAGCGATAATGTCATTCGCGTCATTACGAATCAAATGAATATTACGACCATGACAGATGTACAGAGGATGACCATCAATGCTACGCTAAATGGTTCTGATGTGTAAGTTGTTCTAATATCACCCAATGCTTCCCTCACTTCTTACTTTCCATTCAATTTTCTTAACGTGTACGTTGTAGCCTCGCCCAAGCGAAGACCGGTACCGGTAAAACGCTAGCTTTCCTTCTTCCGGTTGTTCAGAATATCCTCAAAGATCAGCAACTCGCTCAGCGCCCAAGATTCTCTCACAACCAGACCGACGCTTCAGACATCCGCGCGATTATCATTTCCCCCACCCGCGAACTTGCCGAACAGATTGCTGTTGAAGCGAAGAAAATTGTATCAAACACTAGCATCATTGTCCAAACAGCTGTGGGAGGTACAAGGAAGCGTGAAGGTTTGATGCGGATTCAGCGCGATGGATGCCATATCCTCGTTGGCACTCCGGGCCGCCTTATCGACATCTTCTCTGACCCCAACAGCGGTGTCTCTGCCCCAAAACTGAGTGCATTGGTGCTTGATGAAGCGGATCGTCTTCTTGATATTGGCTTTGCTCCTGACATCCAAGAGCTTCAAACCTATCTGCCCCGTCGTCGAGAAGTTGACCGACAAACTCTTATGTTTTCCGCCACGGTTCCGCGGGAGGTGATGTCCATGGTTCGTCAGACAATGAAACGCGATTTCACTTTTGTCAAAACCGTTCAAGAGGATGAAACTCCAACCCACCTGGCCGTTCCTCAAAAACACGTTGTCCTCCGAGGCATGGAAAACCAGCTCCCAGCCATTCTAGAATTAGCGAAACAAGGCATCGAGAAACATGAACAAGATCCGGATAATAATATGCCGTTCAAAGCGATCGTCTATTTCAATTCTACCGCCGAGGTGACATTGGCGAAGCAAGCCTTTGCGGCAATGAGGTCGAATACCTCTACACACTCGTCGCATCCCCTCCCTGATACCCCGTCCTATGAAATGCATTCTCGCCTGTCTCAAGAGCAGAGGACAAGATTTTCAACCATGTTCCGCAAATCCAAGTCTGCCATTCTTTTCTCTTCTGACGTTACTGCGCGTGGAATGGACTTCCCTGACGTCACCCATGTGATCCAGATGGGAATCCCGCGAGACAGGGAAACATATATTCACCGCCTTGGACGGACAGCTCGTGCCAACAAGAAGGGAGAGGGTTGGCTATTCACTTTGGATCTAGAGATCGGAAACCTTAGGCGAACTCTGGGAGGTCTCCCAATCCAATCTGACAGTCACAGCCTTCTCACTGCAACAGCTGACATGTCAACGGACATTGGTCACCCACCCCATGTGTCTGACATTTTCTCTAAAGTGAAAGATGGCTTCAGAATGGTTCCGATGAAGGACAAGTCTACCGCCTATGGCGCATATCTGGGCGTAATGAGCAACACAAGAGATAAATTCGAGGTTGTTCGCTACATCAATCAACTTTCGGCTCACGCCTGGGGCTTGAAAGAACCCCCATTTTTCTCGGCCTCGCTCGCTCACAAAATTGGATACAAAGGCGTTCCGGGTCTGAATACTAGGAACGACAATCGCGAAGATGACGACTCTCGCGAATCTTCGGGGTCTCGCGGCTCCTATGGCTCCATTAATTCCTACGGTTCTCGTGGCTTTGCTCCTCGCGATCCTTATGCTTCCCGTATGTCTTACGGCTCTCGCCCCTCTAGTGACCGGGGCGGCCGGGGTGGCCGGGGTGGCTGGGGTGGCCGGGGCGGCCGGGATGGCTTTAATGACGGCGGCAATCGAGGTTCCCGTAATTCCAACCGCACATTTGGAGACGGGCGTGAATATAACAATAACAGACAAATCCGTAGCAATCCTTTCGACTTTGACTTGTAATTCAATTACCAGCACGAGCGGAAATTGTTATTAATTGTCTACACGCCTGTCCAGCGCTACAACCATCACATCATGGTACATTTAATAGAATGTGGCGATGCGGAGTCGGATACATATCCGAAATAAAATTAGCTAATTGTTTTTCTTTTCGTTTTCTACCGCTGGCATGGCGCAGAGTATGGCCTCGGCACATTCCTCTTGCCCTCTCGCTCGCGACGATTATAGACATGGGATTGGCATGTTTATCTCCTGGTGTTGAGGGCCTCCTTGTTCATGTTTCACCTTCAAGCTTATCGGGACTTCTTTTTTTCGATTTTTCTACACGTTGGGGCAAGACGTTTCCTTTTTTCCTTCTTCTATTTTCCTATTAGGGCTATCCAGGTGAAAAGGCGATGTTTGTTTTGCTGTTCTCGATCGATTTGAGAGGAGTCATTTATTACTCACCCTCGATTCATTTCTTCATATGTGTTTTATCATATTTTTTACATTTGTTACCCTGAATCTCTTCTCCCTTTATCTTCATGGTTGTATAGTACGCTTCCGGCTTCGCATATCTTTTGTGTACCTTCCAAATCCCTTGTAATTATTTTTTTTGCATTTCTATCCTTTCCTTAACTTCACTTTTGTAATTCCTCTTTCTATATGTGTTACTGAAAAAGTTTTATACGAATTTAAAGCCCTTCGATCTTCACACTCGAGATATTCGACTACATTAAATACGTGCGCCGTTGGCCTCCTGTCCTTCTCCGCTCCCATGTTTCATGCCGTTCCTGGCCACTCTGGGTAGACGACTATGCGGACGTATGTATATATAATTTATAAATGAAAATTTTACCCGATGACATCTTCCATCTTCCAGCTATACGAAAGCACTCCATCTTCATTTATCCAGGATGTAAATTTAACTTCATCCAAGGTTCACTTGAGACGAACTCAAAAGAGAGTTAGTTATTTATTCACTTAGTAACAAACCTCGGATCCGAATTTATGGAAGGAAGAAAGAAAGGTTAGACAGCTGTCACACCAGCTTTCCGAGCAAGTTTTCCAGGATAACTGCCTTGAATGTCTCGGGCGTGCCAGTAGTTATTTAATAACTACTTGTAAGCGCTAACTATCGTTGGCATCAAAATGCGTGCGCAGCCAGACTACGTACTTCCACGTCAAACCTCCAACTAAACGCCCATTCACAGGCCTGACAACGTCACTCCGGGCGGCTACGGAAACAATGGCTACAGAGTGACTGTCCATGTCCCTGTGTTATTTATAGAATTGATAGTATTCCGCTATTATTTTAAAACTATGTCGCAGGGCTCTTATTCTTTGACCGTTAGGTCCCGCCCTTTCTTTGCACATAAAGAGCTATTTCAGCAGCAATTTTTGCGTAGCAAGAGATTCTTTGTCAAAATTCTGCCTGGCGCAGCCTTATTTGGCAATCCATTTCCCCCTCCTTGCCTTGCCAGAAGACGTGGGCTGAGCTGCAGGGCCTGCCTTGCGACTTTTGCTAGTATTTCGAGACACCAACACCAAGCAAGACTATACACATAACCCGAAGATAGGGATGGCAACTTCGAATCACTCTATTCAAGCACGGCTCGAACAATTAGCACCAAATGTTGTCGTTGCGTTGAACAAGACATGCCCCGTACTCGCACGGGAGTATATATCGTTCGCCTGTGAAGGCGACGAGAAGATAGCCGAGAATCTTCTAAAGCAGAAACGCCAGGAAGCGTTTGCATCCAAGTCACATATTTTTCGTCGGCAACCCAGCAAGCGTGCGTTTAGTAACGAGGAAATCTACTCCGTCATAGAGCAGGTGGTTCGAACCGATGGCTCCCTTGGGGTCCTCGATTACCTACTGGCCAAAAGCAATGATGCGAAACTCGAGAAACACCTCTTCAAACAGCAACATCATGCGACGAAGAGAGATATTGGCTCCCTTCTGATATGGGCGGCGCGAATGCAACAATCGTCTATGGTGTATCTTTTGAGTTTACATTCTGACGAGACTGGATTAAACGAAGCTCTGGAAATTGTAGTGTCGGGACGGCACCTAGAGTGCACCAAGACCCTACTTCAAAATGGCGGAGACCCAAATTTCTGCCAGCAGGCATTCCTAGCAGCAGTAACACGTGGAGATACACAGCTGGTCGAGTTACTCCTAAGTGCTCAAAAACGAATGGCTGCATCATGCCTTGATCAGGCTCTACCTAGCGCTGTTGCTACTGGAACCCTCGACCTGGTTGCTCCATTGCTGAAAAGCGGAGCCGATGGTAATGTTCCTGGGGCTCTGGAAAGTGCAGTTCGCGCAGGGAACGTCAATATTGTTGCTGCATTGATCTTAGCAGATCATCCGCCTTCGAAGACGTCTCTTGATGGTGCTGTCGAACTCACCCTTAACGAGATTGCGTCCGGTTCAGATCTCCAAAGAACGCTCCTCGAGATACTTCTCTGCGGCGGCGCGAATACAGAAGTGGTCTCAAGGAGACTCGTCAAAGCCGTTGAGCGGAATGACGAGCAAATCGTCTCCTTGTTTGTCAGGTATGGTGCGTCTGTGACGTATAACTCGGCCGACGCGATCATTCGTGCAATTCAAATGGGAAATACAAACTTGCTGGGGAGTTTATTTAGCGCTCGCATCGATGGACAACATGCCTCGCATATTTTGACTATATTCCCTAAAATTGCGTCGAATATACCAGCCTCGAAACAATTAGCAATCATTTCCGCATTAGTGGAGCGGGGTGCCAGTGGATATGCGCTTCATCCATGTTTGGTAAATGCAGTTCAGCGGAATCAGTACGATATTGTCGAATATCTTGTGAGCAAACATGCATCCGTCGATTATGATAATGCAGAAGCACTTTGTTGTGTGGTTGCTTCTGTCTCTCTCCCATTATTCGAACTACTTCTCAAGGGCTGCCCTTCAAAAGAGTCCTTGGAGCAGTGCTTTCCTTTATTGGAAGCTGTCCCTTCTAAACCTCGCCTGGTCATGGCAGGACGCCTATTGGCAGCTGGTGCAAAGGGTGTGGAGGTGGAGAATGCCTTGGTTAAAGCGGTGATGTCTGATTTTACGATGGAAAAGGAGCCCCTTATTTACGAGTTTGTGCGGCATGGAATCGATGTCAATGTTAAAGGAGGAAAATGTTTCCGTGAAGCTGCTGGGGCAGGTGATGTCGGTGCTTTAAAGATACTCTTGAAAGGGGCTCCTTCACCTGCGTCCCTCGCTCAGGGAATTATCCCTGCCCTTAACTTGCCAAATTCCGATCTCCGATTCACTGTACTGGACCTGCTTGTTTCCTCCGGCGCACGTGGTCCTCCTGTCGATGAAGGCCTCCTATATGTGATCAATGAAAAACGGGTGGATATACCTTTGCTGCAGCTGCTTCTTGATAAAGGAATTGCTGACGTGAATTCCAACAACGGGAAGCCGATCGAACTGGCAACCAAACAAGGAAATTCCGATCTTCTTCGAATGCTCCTGACATACAATCCATCCTATACGAGCTTAAATATTGCCTTTCCCATAGCGCTTAGTCTACAGGACTGCGCGTTGCAGTACACTATGTGCCACAGACTTCTTGCGGCAGGTATCAAAGGCGAGACGCTTGACTCTGGCCTCGTAACTGCACAAAAACAGTCCTGGAGCCACCCATCGCTCGTGGAGTTGTTGCTAAAATATGGGGCTAACGTGAACTTCAACAACGGCGCCGTGGTCCGAAAAGCGATCAAAAATTCCGACGACAAACAATTAGAGATTCTTGTTTCTCACGCACCATCAACCGACACATTGAGTATAGCTCTAGATACGGTACTGAAAATGGATACGAGTGCCACACATCACATGGCAAAAATTCTACTAGAGGCGGGTTGCGGTCGAATGCCAAAAATTATAAACAAGTTTTTGGCTGAGGCAGTGAGATTGAAATCTGATGCGTCCTTTGTGAAATTGATTTTGGAATTTGGTGCCTCTGTTAATGATGAACATGGACAGGCCATTTGCTCATCCATTGAGACCCGCTCTTTTGACATCATGACCCTCCTTCTTTCACAAGATGCCACCATGGAGGTATTAGAAACGGCTTTTCGCTCCAGCTGGGCGCTTCAGGGGGCTGAACGATATCAATATGTTTCCAAGATTCTCCAGGCAGGCTATGACGGACCACAGATCCATGGAGCTCTCACGGAAGCAGTACAAGAACGTCCCGCTGAAGCTGAGACTTTAAAACTCTTACTCAAGCACGGGGCCTCTGTTCATCACTCTAGCAACCTCCCGCTCCTCCATGCAGCTACGTCGATGGATGCGGCTACACTAAAACTATTACTGGAGGGCGTCTCCGACCGGAGTGCTATCAATGACGTCTTTTCACAAATGGTTTCAGCGGGCAATACTTGGCTGTCCGCGCCTGGTCTACTGGTAATCCAACAATTTCTAGAAAATGGGGCCGCTGGTGAAGCGATTGATTCCGCCCTTGCCGTCTCTGTCGAAAACTTTGGGGTTATCCCAGAAGCTACGGATGTTGTGGACCTCTTGCTTCGATTCGGGGCGAACGCTGACTATGACGACGGTCGAGCTCTCAAACTAGCGATTGGAAAGTGTAGCTCGGTGCTTGTACGAATGCTTTTGGGCTCTATTGAATCAACAGCAAACCTACCTGCAGCATTCTCTACTATCCTTTCATCAAATTTGCCTGAAGATACTACCCTTGAGTTGATCGAAATGTTCACTCAAATTCCCGGAGGCATTCCAGATTTAAATCGCTATATGTATGATGCTGATGGGACACAACAGGAACCAGTCACATTTGCAGCGTTAAGAAAGTGGCCGCGTGGGACCAAGATTCTTGAAGCTTTGCTGAAAGCTGATATTCTTGTTGATCAAACCATCCCGTATGTCATCGAGTCCAAAGAAGGATACGAGCAGGTGTCTCTTCTTCTATGGGCTCTTCTTCAGCCGCAACAGAAAATCAGTCCTTATGTTATTGATTGCCTATTGAGGAATGGAGGTAAGGGTGGAATCTTTTTAGAATTCGTTTCTGGATCTCTGTCTAACATTTTCTTCGGTAGCAAACCCGAACTTCCAATCAACTGGTTCTCATCAGACCCCCCTATTGATCGCAACGATGGAGAGAACACCGGACATGGTGCACACACTCATCCAACACGGTGCTGATGTTTCTATATGCGACACGTCTGGCCGCACTCCACTCTTTTACGCCAGCAAACGCGGCCAAGTAGCAGCCATGCACCACTTGTTAAACGCCAATGCTGGTGTTGATGATGGAAGCATACATGAAGCTTCGCGTGAATTGCACTCTGAAGCCGTCAAGTTGCTCATTGAGTATGGCCATGATCCTAACTTCCCTTCGATGGCTCATGATGGTCGGAGTGCGTTGGCAGAGCTCTGCCTCAACGCGTCAGCAGATTCAGCGACAGCATTTGGCAAACTCAGACAGACGATTGATATTCTCGTGGCTGGAAAAGCTGAACTTATCTCTGATAGAGGTCACAAGCCGCTATTAATGCATGCCCTGGACAACCCAACCGGCTGCACGAATGTTACAAAGGCACTCCTAGCTAGTGGGCTCTGGAGACGTATTAACGATGAGAAGAATTTTTATTCTCAGGACGGCTTCATATTTTCCCCTACAATGTATATTTCCAAAGGTCTTCAAAGGAGTTCCAAAGAATATGTACCAGACCTCTTACATATCCTTAAGGCCAACGGATGCAAGGACATTTTCTACAGACAGGACGGCCCTCAACCGCCAGACATGGTCGGAGCCCCACAGGACATCCTCGAGGAGGACAGGAGACGAAAAGCACGAGAGCGCCGCCTGCAGGAGCAAGACGAGGAGCACCAACTAGCGCTGAAGCGCGAAATGGAAGCCGCGGAGCAGCAAAGCCTCGTCATGATAAAAACACATAGCCTTCGGATCCAGCAAGACCGCAAAGTAGCAGAAAACCGCGACGCAGCCACAGCCAACTCTGCAGCGCTACAACTACGCCTAGAAGCCACCGCAGCTGCACAGCGCCAATGGATAGCGGACCAGCAGCGAAATTCAGATCTCCAGCAACAGCGCACCCTCAACCAGGTTCGGCTCGAGGCCACGAAGGAGGAAGGTAGGCTACAGATCGAGTACCAAAAGGCATCCGCGGCAATCCAACAGGGTGTGTTTGACGGGCGGGTGCAAGCTGAATCCCGCAGGCTGAAGGAGCTGGAGGCTGCGAATGAGCGACAGTATAAGCGCGATACTGACCTGTTGTCACGCCAGGAGCGTGCTATGGCTAGTCGGAAAGCCATTATGGCGGATTCGAAGGGCTTCACATTGCCCGCTGTTAATGAGCCACAGCGGAGGATAGGGCAGGGTGATTTAAGTCCCGATTAAGTGGAGTGTCGTTTAAATACCTTGTTTTGGATTTATTCCGTTTTCCCATTTTTCATATTCTTGAGTTTTGGTTCAATTACCACATGTTTGGAATGTTAGAAGACGGCTTTGCATTTGATTGTGACGATACTCCGTTCCTCACCTGATATATGTATGCATCCCCAATCTAGGTCTATCCAGGATGATGACCCCCTCACCCTGCTTTTCATGATAATAATATCTTCAGACCATTACTCTATACAAGATTAAACCTGGAAACGTGAAGACAGAGATGATCTAAACAGTGTAAACAATCCCAAGGAAAATAGGATATAAGCAGAAGAAAACTGGAGAGAAACTGGGAAAGAAGTTTTAGCACACGTATTCGATAGGCGCTGTGATACTCTGGACAAAAAAAATCTCAAACAAAAAGAAGAAAAAGAAAAAGAAAAAGAAAGAAAGGGAAAGCAAAGGGGAATTCTAAGAGTAAGCGATACAAACCAAAAGATATCTATATGGATAGGGGCATGAAGGGGAAACCAAAACCCATCAGATAAAAACAAAGGATATATTGTAGAATAATGAAACAGCGGTACGGTAAACTAGAATGAAGCGTTCCCAGAAATAAAATGGTACATGCCTGGAGAGGCGTGGGTTATACCTCGCGCTCAATCATATGGGTCCGCGCTGGGCCAGTCCCAATCCACTTAATAGGTACACCGCCCATCTCCTGCTCAATGAACTGGACATAACGCCGCGCATTCACCGGCAGGTCCTCCCACCTAGTAACACCCATGGTATTCGACTTCCACCCAGGGAAAGTCACATATTCCACCTCAACCTTATCCAGCACCTCCAGCTGCGCAGGGAACGACTCCAACCGCCTCCCGTCCAGCTTATACGCAACCGCAACCTTAATCTCATCGAAGTCATCCAGAATATCCAGCTTGGTGAGGTTGATGGTGGTGTAGTGGTTGATGGCATTGCTGTAGCGGCACATGACCATATCGAGCCAGCCGCAGCGGCGTCGTCGGCCGGTTGTGACGCCAAATTCGCGTCCGACGGATTGCAGCTTTTCGCCGATGTCGTTGATCTGTTCGGTGGGGAAGGGGCCGGAGCCTACGCGGGTAGTGTACGCTTTTACAACGCCGACGATGGATTTTATGGAGGTTGGGTTGAGGGTTAGGCCCTGGATGGCGCCGCCTAGACCTGTGCAGGAGGAGGTTACGTAGGGATAGGTGCCGTGATCGATGTCGAGCATGAGGGCGTTTGCACCCTCGACTAGGACGGATGGACAAGAGCGGTATTTTTCCAGGAAGGCCATCTGGTCGACGACGTAGGGTTGGAGTTTTGTGCGGTATTCCTTTTCGTACGCGGTGTTCCCATGTCAGTTAGTCCGTAATTTGCAAATTCCCAAGCGTCTCTGCCTCAAAATCAAGAACCAGGCGGGATATATTGGACATACGTTAAACCTCTTAACCTCATCTTCAAGATCATACTGCAACTCTCCAAACCGCCTTCGATAGCCCGCCTCCAGACTCCGCAATTTATCCTCCGCCACACCCTCTTCCAACACCTCCCCAATCCGCACGCCTCTTCTAGATGCCTTATCGCTATAGCAAGGCCCAATACCCTTCCCCGTAGTCCCGACCTTCTTCCCTGCCAAATCTGCCTCTTCCAACCCGTCGACAACGGAATGCAGATCAAAGCAGACATGCGCCCGATCACTGATGAATATTCGCTTATCAGCTTCCTTCAGTCCCTTCGCTTTTAGCGCATCGAGTTCCTTGAAGAAACTGGGCACATGCACCACGGTTCCGCTCCCGATGAGGTTGACGCAGTCGGGCGAGATGAGGCCGGAGGGAAGTATGTGGAAGTCATAGGTTATGTTATCATGAACGATTGTGTGGCCCGCATCTGGAGGTTGAATGAAGAGGGAATTGGTGAGTCATTTTTTGGATTTTCTATTTTTGCGGTAGAGAGGGAAGAGAGAGGAGAGAATTTAAAACTTACTGTGTCCACCAGCTGCTCGACAACAAAGTGTGGCAGATTGAGAAAGGAGATCTGTGATTTTTCCTTTGCCTGAGTTGTTTTGAGGAACAAGATCCCTTATGTTAGTTTCCATTTATTTGATCACAATTGCTTTGACAATAAAGACATGAGAGGGAAAAAAAATGAAAAAAGAAAAAAGAAAAAGAAAGAAAATTACTGCTTGGACTAACCCTCATCACCAAACTGTGCACCTAGAACAATAGTAACCATCTTGTCTGTCTCTTCTCTCTATCTTTGGTGCTATCAATGTCCTGCACCGCGCAATCACCGTAGTATATATAACAAGCGCACTAAGTGTGACTCAATAAAAAAGTTGGAGATAAATAAGATATATACAATAACGAAACAGGGCTAGTGTAAGGATATATAGCAAAAGGACAATGACAGCTCAGCAATTGGACTGGTGATTGAGTCCACAGTGCAAAATAAATTGGAGGTTGGTTGTAGTTGTAGTTGTAGTTGTAGTTGTAGTTGTACTGCGTAGTTGAAGTTGAATTTGATGGCGGGGCAAATCGGAGGCGCGGGTTGGATTTGGGGGGTGGGATGGGATGGGAGAGCATTGACTTGCTATTATTCAATCTGATTCGGGATAAATTATTACGCAATTAATTTGACCGGCTAACTATCTATCTGTATCTTCAAAAAAATTTAAAAAAAAAAAAAAAAAAAAAAAAAAAAAAAAAAAAAGCAAAGAAAAAAAAAGAAAAAAGAAAAAAAAGAAAAAAGAAAAAAAAGAAGTTTAAAATTCTCACACCAGCCAAGGAGGGGCAAAATCCAGTTAGGGCTTAGGGCTTGACTTAGGGCTACTTTCCGAAAGCGGGAGCCAGAAGTTGTACTGTACTGTACAATGCAAGGGACAGGGAGAGCAAACCATATAATAATTGATATAACTATACAAGTATGTACGGAGTACATATGCAAAAAACCATGAAACACACAGTCAAACACTCACAGATAAAATATGGGTCACAAAAGAATCAACAAAAGGCATAAAACAATATGGTTAACCCCAGCTGACCAAAAGCATGGGAGATTAATTATCAAAGAAGGGGAAAAAAAAGGAAATCATTCGCTTCCAATCGTACAGTATATAATCCTGTCATGATGGCTGTGGAAAAACTGTGCGCCGTCTGTCCATGCCGCCTATGATGTGTTATCCCCTCTCCCCGCTCTCCGTGTTCCGCCGTCCCCTTAACAACCCCAAAACCGTACGCATGGTTCGCTCACATATAAACATGTACCATGTGTCCATGTACTATGTAATATATAACACGTACAAGGTCTGCCGTACGTTTCTCAGGCCCACCACACCTACAGCTTTCCATTACCTAATAATAATATCTATTAAGATCAGACGAACAACACAGAGAAATAGAGGTATCCAAACTATCCGACACGAACCACAGCTGGCACAGGCTGGTGGTTGGTTCTACCCCTCATGAACTTTCGCGTCGCATCGAGCGCTTCCAAACCGGCCAGGTGGCGCTCCCACGCAACCTCCCAATGCTGTCTAACGACAAAGTCCTCCTTAACACCACGCATGTAGGCATTGAATCCCCCCTTGGCGCTTCCAGCGACCAGCTGCTCATCATCGGCATCGTTGCCATCATCATCGTCTCGTACGGCGTCACCGCTATTCACTGTTGTCTTGTTCTTGTCGTTGGTCTTCTTTCCAGTGGAATCAACGCCATCATTAATACGTAGCCGCGCAGAGTCCCCCACAGCGCTCGTCCAATTGGGAGCAAGCCCTGTCTCGACTGTTTGTTGTCTAGCGTTGAAGTGACCGAGCATGGTACGGTTGAATACATTCCAGTCGTGCATGTATGCGTTGACTTCAGTCACGTAGCGTTCCCATTTTAACTGGACCTCAGCTTTGTGGGGGTGATCTGCTGCTGAGAAATTCGGGGCTGGGGGTACTTTGGGAGGCTTAGGGAGCGCAAGGTCTTGTGGGCGGACAGTTAGACGGGTTCGACTGTTGTCGTTCGGTCTGGATTCGAATGGGAGCGTGCTGCTAAGGTCGTTGAGGTCATTGATGCCGGTGCTATTGGTTGCTGTGAATGGTGCAACGTTGGCGAGGTTTTTCAGGTTTAAAGTATTATTGGATGGGGTAGGAGTTGACCTGTTTTTTGCTGCAGCTGCGGGGTTTGTGGCCGTTGTATCTGGTTTTGTATCTGGTTTTGTATCTGGTGGAATAGGGTGCTGTTGTGGTTTGCTGGCTGAGAGCCCTTCATCAATATCCATTGCCTCAACACCTTCAGAAAAGGTCTGTTTGGGTTCATCGGTGTTTCCATTCCATAGCGTCGATTTCATCTCCTCTGCTTCCGTCGTGACAGCCGCTGGTTTGGGTATTGTTGGCTGCCGCTTCACGGCCGGTTTTGATTGTTTTCTCGGACTTTTCTGGCGGTTTGAGCTCTGGTGGGGCAGTTCATTATGGGGAATAGACCAAATATCGGCCTTCAGAACTTCTTCCTTCCATTTTTCGACTGAGAATCCAGACTCCGTAAAAGCCGATGAAGGCTTACTGGCATTCTCTTTGTGATTCTGAGTCGCATTTCCAGGTGGTGGGAAGGGTCGAGGGTGAGTCGCAGAGTTCGGCCTGCTTATACTCCGACCGCGAGCGCGGGACGACTTCGACTGGTCTCTGGAGGGTTTCGGTGCGAAAAATTCAGTTGCGTGCTGGAATTTGCCGCTCCAGTCTGCGGCAGAGAAGGTAACATCGATACTCTCATGACTTTTACTCTTGGGTTTACCGCTTAGAGGGGGGGTACTTCTGTTTGCAAACGGGCCAAAACTGGGAATTGGAACTGAGTCAGCGTTCATCCTAGTGTTCTCGACGTGGGCTGAATTAAGTGGGTTCATATGGGGTTGGGCTCTGTCCTGTGCTATCTCATCCCTATCTGGGAACGCAAAGCTTTGATCACGGCCTTCTTTTCTCTGTTTTGGAGGTTTAGAAAGCTGGGGCAGGATGCTGGACGGATAAGCCCAAAGCGGGAATGATTGTTCAGGGGTATCAGTAGCAGTAGTCGATGAGGTAAAGCCCCATCTTTCCGACCACTCGCGAACAAAGGACTTATGGGGTGGGCCATACATATTATTAGAATTATCAGGCGTGCGTGATTGCCTTGAGTTATAGGTAGGGTTTCCGGTCGCGTGATTCGGGGCGTTGTTTGCGGTGGCATAGGCCTGCTGAAAGTGGGTTTTCGCAGCTGGAACGTGTCCGTGAGAGCCATGTGGGTTAAATCCTGTATTGTTTGAAGGTTGTCCTTGAGGTTTCTCACAGTCAGTATCCGGGGTCCATCTCTTCTGTGGCTTTTGCCTGGGGTTCCAATCTGGGCGCATATAGGACTCGGAAAAAAGCCAAGAGCCCCTGTGAGTTGCCCAGCCCAAAGGTTCCTTACCGGAATCAGCATTCATAGACACAGTTTCTCTTTTCGCAAACATCCTACTCCGTGGCGTCCGTTTTGGTCTAGACGATATATCGACCTTCTCCGAATCGCTTGATGATGGAGAAGACGGAAAAGGCCGGTCGCGGTTCGGTTTGAGCTTTGGGCTGGCACTGTGGTGCCTTCCACGATTAGACTGGGGGGAGGTTGGGCTTGGGGGGTTTGTACGGGACCGGGAATCAGACTCGGTAAATGGTGAATCCCTGGTACTTGACGATCGCCCGAGGCCAGCACCTGACACATATGTTTTTTCACCACCAGCCATTGCATATTTACTGCTCGTCCTCTGGAGATTTGGCACATTAGTATCTGTGGATTCTTCCTGGCGCGGCCATTTTTTTGCCGTTGGTGGAGGGGCAGGCTCAAAATGTGGATGGGGATAAGAAGCCCGAGCCCTATTAGAACTGGTGTAGGCTGAGGTATTCTGCGCCATTGGCTCATCGCCACCTGGGGTTGCGGGAGCAAATCCTTGTCTCTTCTTTGCATGCGCGCGATGCGGAGATGCCTTTGGCACGTTGAAATATGCTTCAAATGCGGATTGAGGACGCTGAGAGGGTTGCGGAGCCGATCCCGATTGGTTTGATTGGCCTGTCCTTGGATCGAATCCTGCCCATCCACCTGTGTTGGGATTCGGTTTCATTTCCTGGAATCCACGGAATGCATCCGCCCTGGTTCTTGTATCCTCGTAAATTTTATCCCATTTTTGCTGTGAAGTTGCTTTCGCATAGCTCGTGTATTTCTGCGCACCGGCAGAAGGAGGTGGAGGATAGGATCCCGGGTGCGGAAACCCTTGAGGGCGATGTTGGGCGTTCGGCTCACTAGGCCTTCGCGGCTGCGTACCAGGTGCTGGCGTTCCCCTAGATTGACCGGGAGAATTTGGGGTGGCTCTAGGATGATTTGCTGGCGTGGGTGCCCGTCGGGGTTGAGAGTGGTTTGGCTGGGAATACTGCGGGCGAGGAGGCGCGCTTGCTCTGGGCGGGCCATAGTACTTACCATATCCCGCACGGAGCCTGCCAGTATCGTATTTTAATCGTTCTTTAGGGTCTATAAGGATTTCGTATGCGGCTTGGATGGATTGAAATTTGGCATTAAACTCGAGTTCTTTCCCTGGATTCCTATCCGGGTGGAATTTTAAAGCTGTAAAGAGGATGCGGAGTCATGTTAGCTATCTCCTCTAGACCTGATCACGCAAGCATAAACAAACGCTGGGTGCAGATATCCCACCTAGTTTCCTATACTTTTGTCGTATTTCGTCTTCTTCAGCTTTGGGGTCAAGACCCAGATCGCCATAGTAGTCCTTCTTTATGTCTGCCTTCACCATTCTCACAGTTCAGTTTGTAGCCCCGCGGCAACGGTAGAAGAAAAGAACGTCCGGAGGACTGTGCTTCAAAGGGCGGGTTGGATGGTAAAATGTAAAAAAGGCGGCGTTTTATCATTGATCAAAGGGGAAATAGGCGCGCATCGTTGTCCGAAGAATAGCTTCCCAGGGAGGAACAGAACGAAATAATAATTCAAGTAAACTAATAGCTCCGGGTAGCATAAAGAGAAAAGTCGTTGCACCTCACTTCCTTTCCGGCGCGCGTGTTTCCCACGTACTAAATAAGCCTATTGTTTGTTATTATAAGCAAAACGGGTGCCAATACCCAACACCCCAAGAGTGATTGAATTTCTGAAACAAAGGGTCTAATCGAGTTGCCTCTGAATGACCAAAACATAGACCCCCCCCCCAGCACGTCACACGAACAGAGGGATCTCCCGTCGGTCCAACTAGTGGCCTAGTAGACCACAAAGCAATCGTTGGAAAAGTGAGGCAAAATAAATGGAGAGGCAGAGAATAGAAGAGCCACTGGCAAGAGTAGTTCAAAAACCCGAGACAAGAGACAAGGGAGGAGGCCAAGTATGTAGACGGGAGTTGGGCGACGTTACAAGTTGGGTCTGATTGCTGGCACGAAAATTTGAGGCTGGTTGGTTGGGCGTTGTTAGGTAGCAGTACGGAGTAGTCTGCAGTAAACAGCTCACAACACTTCGGTCCAATAATGCAGAGCGTGTAGAAAAGCTACTCCAGGGAGAGATGGGATTCGAGGACAGGCTAATTCGTATGATCCTCGGTCGGTTCAGGGGGAGAACTGGAGTGCCTGGAGCTGTGTCGTTCCTGAAGAGAGAGAGAGCTAGAGGACGATGATGGAGGGTCGAGGAGACAACGGGCGGATGAGGACGTCCGTCCAGCAGTTGGTAGCAATCCTTGATGTAACTACTCCGTACTCACTTTGATAGACCTAGAAAATGTGGCTGGTGAGGGAAAGTAAGATGGGTGTTCTTGTGGCCCTGTACGGAGTAGAGTAGAGTCTGCTAAATATTTCTTTGTCGTTGGAGTAAATATTTAACTAAATATTTAACTTCTTAATCATCCACCATGTTTTTGTTAGATAAATATTTTATCCTGTCTATTGGAATCCATGAGATAAATAATCTCATGGACAGGAGTGGAGGGAGGGAGCAACTATTGAGGAGATAGAAGAAGCAGTTCAACAGAAAACTTAAGGGTATTTAATCCATCCACCCTTTCTCGATTTCAGCTTGAGTGTCTTCTTGACACCACAAAAGCGTTCAAGATATATAAGTTATTTATACTCCATACATAAAAATGTTCCACCAAGCCAGGATTTTTCCATCGCCCAACAAAGCCAGCAAAACTACTAAAATGACGAAACATGGGGAAAAGTATCTGGATGCCACGACTAGGGAAAAACGGATAAATACAGTTGAAGGGTTTTTCCTGAAGTATTTAGGTCATACACTGCTTCCCCGTACTAATAGTTAATGTATGTACAGTAGTTACATAGTATGGGCTTCGTTAGTTACCCATCGGATATATATCTCCTCACCTAAGCAATTTGGCGAACCTCACCATCACATTCTGTCAAACGTCCCCCACCCTGTGCTCCCAGACAATTCGTGAGCCCAGGACACTGTTACATGGTCGTCAACTTCGGCCGGAGCCTGGTGCTCCTGGAATGGCACCGGTCCACTGGGAACGAGTATAATGGGCCTAGAGGTGTCAAGCTCGGGATTTTACAGTTTTGATTCAATATATCCAGAGAGTATTATTCCCTGCAGATATGGACAGCATGAACATATTTTCCTTGTTTTGCGCGTTTGAAAGCTGTTCTAGCTTGCCTTTGGGATCGTTGTTGGGAGGGGATATATGGAAGACGAATGTTTTCTGTGATTCAGGGAAAAAGGTTTCGATATCGACCCCCCTCACCAATAAGCGCATAAATGCCCTAGAACGCTCACGTAAGCTTACGATGAGATGAGAAAGTTGAACAGGAATGCAGAGAAATACCAGAGAAAAGAAAAGAAGAGGCAAGCGTGCAATCATAAACACGTATATACATGGATGGGAATGGAATCAACAAGTTAATACATCATCAAATATTCATCCAACGAAGATGAAGAGACACATGTAGAGTAAATTTTAATTCCCCATATTTTCAATCTATCTCCCCCCCCCCCCCCACCCCTCAATGTTTCCGCTGATGTTATTGCTCATTCGCATTGACATCCGCATTCCCACTCCCACCTCCATCATTGCCAGCATCCTCAACATCCCCATTTCCAAGCCCAAAGCCAGCACCACTCCCGACAGCCCCAAAAAAGAACCCATCAAACAAATCATACCCAGCCCCCTCGCTCCAATCGTGCTGGAAATCGATCGCCATGCCGAATCCCAAATCTAGACCTGTACCCACCACATTCGGTCCGCTATCACCTACTAATGATGAGGCGTCCCCAAACCCAGGGACTGGGGGATCGTAGAGATTATGGCTGTTGTTATTGCTGTTGCTGGCATTGCTATCTTGGTTATGGGCGATGGCGATGCCGGGGCTGGTGGTGTGCGTGGGCGAAACTATGTCCAGGAATTGGTTGGGGGGGAAGTATTCTCGGTCGCCGCGGTGCGGGGCCACGGGCGTTAAAGGGCTGGTGGTGGTTCTTTTGTGGGGATCGTAGGGGGGTTGTTGCTGCGGTTGCAGTTGAGTTGGATAGGTATATTCTTGCTGCTGGCGACGCTGCTGGGGGTGTTGGCGGCGCTGCTGCTGTTGTTGCGGTTGATGGCGCTGGGAGATTGTTTGTTGTGTCGAAGAGCCCGCATTATCATACTTGACTTGCGTGGCTGGATAGGACTGCCGGGCTTGGGGTTGATGGGATGGGTATTGGTTCGCTCGCACGGAGCGCTGAGGGATGTGGTCGCCATTGTCGCGATATGGTGGCTGTGGATGATGACCACCTTCATTCATCAATTCAGGGGAAATGTCTTGGAGTCCCATATCGTATTGCGGCCGGAAACGCGCATGTTGTTGTTGCTTAGGTTTCTGTTCTTGTCGTTGCTGCTGTGTCCTCGCGGTTATCGACGAAAATTGTTGTTCTTCACAAGGTTGCATCGCTCCCAGAGCAGGATTGGATCGAACAGGCACTCCTGGAGCTCTCAGCCCAGATGCTCCAAGAATAGCCGCATCAGAACCAAATCCAGTAGTAGAGAGACACATTTGAACAGTCGCCTTGCTCATACGTTCAAAAGCATCCCGACAAGCTTCGGCAGGGGGACACTTTTCCATGAGATCGCCCAGAACAGATGTTGCGGCAAGAATAGTGAAGTCGACCTCATCTAAAGTCTTCTCGTTTCAAGGTTTGTCAGTCAACCAACCCGATTTGCACAGAGAAGACATCCCACTTACTAGCCGGCTTCGAACAACAGGTGAATGCCAAATTGCATATAGAAATGATATTCCTATCCCCGTGTTAGAACTCAAGAGCTTGTTTAACCAAAGAAGAAACGCGAAAAAGAGTAAAACTAACCCGCCATAAAAAGATGATGTGTAGCCAAGTAGGTATAATTTACCAACCTAACCCTATGTAAGTGACGATATATCCTTAGAACTTTCTGTCCAGCCTCCGCCACGTTAAGATAAATATCGTCCTCATCCTCCGCATCCTCAATGTTAGTCATCGACGGACTCGACACGTCGTCAGAGAGGCTATGTTCACTAGCAAACGGAGCCGGCACGACCAAGCTCTGACGATATAGCATAATGAGCGCCTGCCAATAATTGATCTCTAGAAACTCAACAGAAAACTGAACCCCAATCTGTTGAGGCATCGGGGCAGAATCTTTCCAGTCCGACAAGCGGCGATGGACATCCCGCCTCCACGAACGAAATGAGTCAAAATTAGCGAGGAAAGGCGACGGGAGCTTTGTATGCATGAACGAATTATTGCGGTTCTTGCCGATCTTCCTCGCCATCGTTGCTTGCTGGTGTTGGAGGACCTGTTGAATTTCCGACTGTAAAAGACGAAGTTTGAAGTAGTGTTGAGAGACATATTTGTAACTAGTCGTATTTGCCGGAGACTGGAGAAACCCGGCCTTGGTGATGTATCTATCGTCCAGCAGCGAAGGGAATTCGGTTGTGATGACCTGGTCAGTGATTCCGAAGGGCCGTCCAACACAGGTGCTGACCAACCTGTCAAAGCTGTAGGTGCACCACCATAATCGCCTGCGGAGATCCCGAACCCATTCCCGCCGCCCACGTTCCCGAGAACCGATCTTCAATCTCACTTTACCGTCTTGTCCGGATTTACCGCCCTGGACACCGTTGGATTTCATTTTTCGGGCAGTCTCCTCTTGCTCACTAATAGAATCAATTCCGGTTCCATCCTCATAATGTAGCCCAAGGTCTACAGCCAGGCGCACTGCAACGCCTATTATATACCATAGGCCAGGAGCGACAGGCCGCAACAGGGCAAAACTGGCCAAAAGTAACACTGCCTGGAGTTCTTCTAGGCCACCGAAACCGTCGGAGTGTTGAGAAGATCCAAGGAAAGTCTCTAAATCCACAACAGCGGAAGCGTGGTATTCCTCCGGTTGATAGTTTTGAAAAGATAACTTCTGTCTTTTATGGGAAGGGGATGTAGGTGATCTCTTGTGGCTTTGCTGGGGTTCATCCTCATGTACTCGGACGTCACTTTTGGTATTGAAAATTATACCTGCACCAATAGCACACACGACGTTAAGAAGGTAGAGGTCTCGAGAGGATCGCCTCCCCTGATCAGTTGAATATAATCGTTGAAAAACTTCCATGAATTCCCCTCGGTGTAATATTGGAATTTGCGGGTTCGCGTGCTCGAAATACAAATTAACAAGCCTTTCTGCCACCGCTTGATCCGGGAACGGCGCTTTCTTCGTTGTCGGTCTAGCCTGCAACCCGAAAATAGAATCACGCATAGAACTTGAACCGTTGTTTGCACCTAAACTTCCTCCTGTCTGGCGTTCTCCGGATTTTAGAGTCCCGCGATCAGTTGAATTTGTCGAAACGGAGTTTCTAACTGCTGAGAAAACAACTCGCGCAAATGAGATTCCAGAGGTGGAACCAAGATATCTCGGATCCGAAGCGCCTTGAACTGATACCATACCAATATTTGATACCAGATTATCGATCCGATGTTTTGCTTCATCAGATTGACGCTTGTTATCCGCATCATGCTCCGGATTATCCTCCCGGCCAGGGTTCGAGGCGGAACCTGATACCAGTTCATCCTCCCCTTCTCTTTCACGCTTGACTTTCGAACTTGTATCCCATCTGGCCACAGTCACTTTTTCCTGGCTTGTCGTATTTTTATCAACCGGGGGCTGCACTCCAGTTGCATCTGGTTCGGGAGCTGATTTATGTGAAAAGGAGACAGATCTGTCTTTCGCTACCTTCTCTAATTCAGACTCTCCTTCATACGGTTGTGGTGGCCTGAACTCTATGCTATTATCCACAAGCAATTTTTCCAAGTATGCCAGGCGGGACTCTAAGAAAAACACGTAGCTACGGGGTATCTCCCGCTTTGTAGTAGGATCATATCCAACACAGTGTACCCGAGCCTTTTTGCATGATTGACAACGAGGAAGATTCTGATCGCAGCGATTTTTGCGAAGACGACATCGGTTGCAAGCTGAAACGCTACGGAATGAGGAGAAGGAGGTAGATGGTGGTGGGGCGCGGCTGGGCGCTGACATCGCGGGAAGCGGGTCTTGATCCAAGGACAAATGTTGACCACGATCATTGAGATTCGGATGGTGCGATGACTTTTTGATTGAGGTAGAAGAAGGGTGAAGATCAATCGAAATGTAGTCTCTTTTGCTGCCACAAGAGTAGGTAGATAAACCTGAGGGTGAAGCTGGTGGCAGACTTAGCATGACCGACAAATGATACATGTACCATATCTTTCAGATAAGGATAAGCACAAAAGTAGATGTTTTTTCAAACAAGTCATCATGTTTCAATCACATTGGTCGTTTCTTGCAAAGTCCCCCCTTTTCCCCCGTTGTTTATCGGGAGAATTGACACCCGTGGAGTGTTGTATAGCGTCGGGTTAGTCAGTAAGACGTCCCCAGTATTCGGACAGCAGCAGAATAGTGATCTATGAGAGAAAAGGTAGGAAATCATGCACTCCTCGTTCTCCAGAAGATGGTTTCGAGCAAAAGCTAGCTGGCCGAGTTGTGGAAGGACGTTGCCTAGACCAAAAGAGAAACCCGAACAGGAGGAAGAGCACAGAAAGGGACTGGAGCTCTTCTCATGGGCGACGAAGCGGAACAATCAAACTTTCAAACTTTTGCGCAATGTTGCCCCCAGCCGCCTGTCAAAGCTCGAACGAAGCGGGCCACAACCTGCGATCACTCTTGGAGTGGAGATGGTGAGCTATTTAGTTTAAGCCTGAGAAATTCTCCACACGCAGCCCCTGAGAAGAAGGCTGTGATTTCAAAGACAGCCACAACAGCCAGAAACAAAGGGAGGTTTGTCATTAAGAACGATGAAAATGCGGAGATATTAGGAAGAAAACTGGAGATAGGGCTGGACCGCGGGACCCGAAGGTTTGTCTCATGCGCGGATTCCCGTTTGTCGGGTTTAGCGCAGTCGCTGAGAACTGTTCGGCCGAACAATACAACATCGCAAGCAGCGCAGCATGCATCCTAGACGCGTTCGTGCGGGGAGGTCGAAACTGGGCCGAACAGCAGCCAGCAGCCGAGAGTCCTGAGGCACGCCGTCAGAATTAGTTTGTTCACTAGTTAACCATCGTGCAATAATTGGCTGACAAGAGTATGTGTTAGGGAGTCCAGTCCACCATATTTCCTCTCTGAAGAAAGAGCAGCAACTACGCAGTATGAGAGAGATACATTCGTTATTTGGTATTGCGCCGCTGAGCTTGCCAGAGTACAGAAGGATGGGGCCATCAATCTTGCTCCAGTTTACCTATTTTTGTACAGTAGTTACCAGACCAGCCTGGTAATCCATTCCACGATTGCGAAGGGAAATTCCGCGACCCAACATGCTTGCTTCATATTCCGCTCCCCTGAAGTTTATATTTCCACGCCTTGCAATCATCTTCTAGCATTGAGGCCCCTCAGGTCAAAAAAGATCAAAAGAAGAATGAGGAGATGGAGCTGAGCTTCAACTAAAAAATAAGCGTGGACAGACCATGATTAAATTGCCCCTGATAAGCAGTTTTTTTCTCTCAAGCCCTTGTATAGTTATTTGTTGTTATAGTCTGGAAAGGGAATGACATCCCACGCATTCTCTCCTCAATCCACCTACTACTCCCTTGAGTCGAGCTCAATAAAGTAGAGGGCATAGGGTGCTAAAAATATAAAATTTAAGTTAAGAAACACTACTCGAACAGTCTCTATCCCGTTTTTTACCTTATTCTCAAAGTTCAAGCCTATCTCAGAAGGTCATTCATTATTCGCCTTACAGTGCTAAATGGAAATTGGGGAGGCTCAACCGCCTTGACCATAGCAGGTCCCGGTCCCATGGAATGAAATCTACATGGTTGAAACGGAGCAATGACGAGGAGTGTTTAGAAGACGCTACGGCGTCAAAATTATTCTCCGTACATGTATGTACTGTACATAACATACATTCATACATACATACGACGAAATCAGCATTATTATTTACCTTAGGTTCGACATTGATCCTAACCTCTTCGCTAAAAATGGAGATAATGCCTGTTGGGGGAAGGTAAAACTTCATTCTTCAGAAAGAGTGTGAGCCATACCTAGGTACGGTCGGTTAGGCACCATGTGAGCCCTGGTTCACATATTCTGATCCATCCTCCAAAGGCAATGGCCATAAGCAACGAATTCAATCCATATGAGGCACAGAAGATTGGCATTTGGTTCCAGCCCGATGTCGTCGACTAAAACCTACTCCGTACAGTAGGTAGTGCATACAAGTCCGTCGTGATTTCAAATCTTTTCGGTCACACAGTTAGTTACCCCACGCAAAATTCCAGGTATTGCAACGAAAGCGGGCAATTCTGTGGCTTGATGGCCGTTAAGAATCCCAGGGAAGATCCAAGTTTTTCTTTGTTGGAATCGGCTTCGTTCTTGCCATGGCTCGAAATGAAGCCATTCAAGCCCGATTATGCCTTCAAATGGCATAATTGGCCAATGTTGTTCTCAGGCATGCATGGAAATATGACAATCGTTTCCCTTTCAATTCCTAGCCAGCGTGAGATGATTCTTCACTCCATTTTGCTGCATTCTTGGGTCGACCCATCCCTTCATCGCTCAATCGCAATATTTCCAAGCCCCAGGTACGACCTTGCAGTATCCTCTGTATCGCCCGGCTTATCGTTCCGTGCCCCAGGTAGAAGGTTTTAGAGATCCACGGTGCATATTTCCCACGGCAGGCAAATTTGGTCAAGATCGGCTATGGTAAAAAAACGAAGATATCGTCACATCTGCTTAAGTCATTAGAAACTCTGTCGAGAGGGACATGCTGATAGTGAAATGTGATATTCCGATAGATTGAACTAATCACAATAACTAAAAAGTAAAATGTGACAAAATACTTATTTTTTCCAGTTACTTACTTGTCTCAGTGTCTGCGGTCAAACCAGGGTTTTCTTCCCAACACTGACCAAAGTTTGTATGGGAAATAAAATGTTCAGGGAAGGAAAACAAACTAGATAAGCAGGCAATTATTGCTAAGAGGAGGAGGGTATGACTGTTTCTCATGCCACCTGGCTATGCTGCGCACGGAATCCTCGCATCTGCAACGGATACTATTCAAAGAATTTTTTCGATAACATCTCATTGTGAGGTAATTTGTATGGTAAAATACGCAGGCATTTTGTCATGCATATTTGAATAGCTTTGGGCACCCTGAGCTGCATTTGGCCGCGATGACTATCCAGCTGACCTCTGCCATGATGTGCTGGTAATAATAGGATTGAGAAGCAAACGCACGCAGCCAGCGAATCAAGACGAAGGGAAAAGGGAGGAAAGGATCCCGGGTGTATGCTGTGCTCAGGCTCATGTTCACGATGCAGGCGAATGCACCAGGTACGCAATGATGCATTTATCTTATTTTCCTTGCAACCAGGCAAAAGAGGAGACGAGGGCGGCTCTAAGCCAGATCAAAGGTGGGGAGACTAAGAAAACAAACCCGAGGAACAGGGATAAATGAATTCCAATTGAAACTTGACATTTGCTTCCGGAATCGCAACCCGTTTTCCCGGAGTCTTCTTCCATCCCACACCCCTGGCCATAAATTCCTGAATGCTTGGGGATAATCCAAAAAAGTCCCCGCGAGATTGAAGGCGGACGAGAGCTGATAGGTGCTAAAAAAAGGGGGGAGGGGCTTTTTCTCTTTGCAAATTTGCCCCTCTTTGCAAGGATGTGATGTCCGAGATCTTTCGTTTTATGTTTTCTTAAATCTGTATGGGTGAGGGATCCAACCAACTCCTCAGTTGGATGAGTTAATAGTGGCTGATGTCATTTCTTTTGGGCCGCAATTTTATCATGAACAGAATGAAGTCTGGGCTGCTCTCAAGTGGTGAAGGCGAACATGCGTCATGTATGAATCGGAACGTTTGTATACCACCCAGTCCTGTGTGATAAATGCAGAATCAAAAATAAAATACATACAAAAAAAACAGATGAAGCGGAGATTGTGATGGAGCATATTTTGATATTCTAAACGCTGCCCGAATGACATTGCAGCGTATCACCTATCCCACTGGAAGTATCGCATTTGAGAAAATTAAACAAAGAGTACTGAAAATTCAAAATAAATCATGTAGTGACAATGAACCGTGACATAGTAAAGATGAATAGAAACGAAAAATGTCACCCTCAATGGAAACCAAACAAATTCAACCGATAGATCCTATCATGCCCTCAGAAATCATATCCACATCCATCTATTCCATACCCGAAATGCGTGCCCCTGTCGTGAAAAAAGTAAATAGTACTAGGAGAGGTGGAAACAAAACAGAAAAGAGCGAAATTATCACAATAGATAAGCAGTCCTGATGGTCAACAAGGATTAGGTATCTCTTAAGAAACAAAACGGCGAAATTTTGGACGATTGGGGTAAAAATAGAAACAGACAGTCATAAAAACGATTTTTGACAAAAGATCCACTCGCGTAGATTATGGCCCTAGTTTCAACGCCAATGACTCCAGGACACGTGCGTCGCCCGAAGACCGAACACCCAAACAAATAGATAGGCAAGGAAACGGTTCGCAGGCAGTAGAAACAACAAGATGGTGATAACAAAGTCAGGTATCTCTGCTGCCTGTTGCCCAAAAGGGTGAGGTAGAGCAATGAAATTCGTGTATTATAAAGTAATAGTAGGGAAATGCATAAAGGTGGCGAACCAGTCATCTAAAAGCTGAAAGGGAATAGAAAAAGACTGAAAACTTAAATATTTGCTCCTCTGGCGAATGACGGTCCCGAGGCATCTGAGTCCAGATTCAGAGTTTCGATATCATCAAGGCTTGACCGAGAGGGAGCAATGTGCTCGTTCGTCGACCAAATATTCCTGGGGGCTCGGACAGGTAATGACGTCAAGTGATCCACCAAGGCTTCTCTGGGGAGAAATGTCTCTCGCTCGTCATGGACGCCAGCTTCGCATTGGTCTATGCAGACCTTTTCGGATCCAATGGTTTCCTTTCTCTCATCGTCTGCGATCCAAAAGCTCTCGACGGCCCCCACGAAGCAGACGATACCGCAGGCCCACCAGGCAAGACCGGAGTATCCCCATGCAAGCCCCTTCGAATGCAAGTAACCTGTTACAGTAGGTCCGAACGCGCGACTGAGACTTGCAGTGGAAGCTGCAACGCCATTAATAGAACCCAGGACCGTTGTACAGGGGGCTGAGTTGGCGAGTAATATGTTCGTTGAAGGGAAGGCAATCACATGCAGAGTTATCTTAGCAATCAGCGCTGCATAAACAGCCGGTATCTGAAATCCACCAGGAAGAAGTACTAGGTAAGGGACAACTAAATAGAGGACTGGCCATATGGAGAGGACGAAACGGTAGGCAGAAAGGGTTCCGAAAGAGCTGACAATATACGGGAAGAACCAAAGCTGAGCCACCATTGAATAAAGTCCTTGGACCGCGAGTATAAATCCGATCTGCTTTGTTGACATGGCCATCCCTCCGGTAAACTTGAAGGGGAGCTCGGCTTTGACGTCTGCGACTGGTGTGCTTAAGAAAATCGGCATTAGCTGATCAAATGAAACGCTGTGGCTGTGACAGTGTTAGAATGGAACGTTTATACCCTTGATCAGGAGAATAGGACACTTACTACGCAAGGATCCCATAGCTTATTATTACAAAAATAACTCTTGGCGTGAATGCTTTGACAATGCCCTGGCTCTTCTTAGGCGACTCATTAACGTTAAAACTCCCATCGGGCACTCTAGCGGAAGACAGGCGGGGAGAACTTTCAATGCTTCGGTATCCAGGTGGCAGCTGTTGTTGCTCAGCTAAAACTTGAATTTCATCGTATTGTATTGGAATTTTATATTCCAAACAAAATGATTCAACGGGAGTTGGCCTCGGGTAAAGTACACCAATCAGCCTGCGCCCCAGCTCGATACCTCTATCGCGTTGGAACTTCTTTCCCGGATGGGTCTCTTGCAAGAACAGGATACCAATGGTAATCCCAAAGCATAGAATAACAACGCACACCAAGTTCGGAAGCAAAAACGGGTACCGGTCAAATATCGTATTGCGAGGGAAGAGATGAGGGTAGTTGTCACATGGTTGAGCCAGTGCTCCGCCCATCGCTGGTCCAACGATCGAGCCAAGGCACCACACGAAAGGCATGATAGAATACGCTCGCGGTTGATGCTTTTTGTCTGTAACAAGCTCCGCCACTGTCGTTTGTAAGACGCCGATATTACCGTTAAGAAGCCCTCCGAGAGCACGAGCAAGTAGGGCAACCGGGAGGCTTGATGCAAATCCAAATACGATCATGCTGATAGCGGTTCCAATTAAACCTATGATTAAAACGGGCTTTCTACCAAAATTGTCGCTCATTCGGCCCCATAAGACTCCAGTTGTGAATTCGGCAAACGTAAACGCGGAAGTTACTGCTCCAGCGTACAGGGCAATCTTGCGATCGTCATCGGTGACTTTGAAGGAAGAAACCATATGATAAACATACGGGAAAATCGACATGAACGCGATAGGTTCGCATATTCGACACAGCGCTACATATGGAGTTAGCTCTGTCATGGGCACATTTAAAGATCAGGTGAAGCCCTCAAATCATCCATAAATTGAAAGGAAGCAGAAGGCAATAACAAAAAGTGCTGGGCATCATACGTACCCAGTACGAATAGTTGCTGTGACGGGAACCGGTCTTCTCCATCTTTCGCGGCATGACCTCCTCTGAATGCTGACATCAAGCGGCCGAGCATCCCGCCAGCTCTTAGAATGGAGGGCCAGATATTGACTTTCGAGCGTGACTCACGAAACGCAAGATGTATAGCTTCCAGCTGTACAGCCAGCTTATAGACGATTCAAAAAATGTCTAGTATCCCAGATATCAAGCCTCTAGCTGATTGACGTGGAAACCGTCCGTCCAGATCCAGAAGCACTGGGCTGCCACTGTCACAAAGCCTTTGGTATGCGAGACAAGTTCCAAAAGGAACCTCAGTTTTAATATTGTGAAAACGTTGAGCAGATCTCTGAGTGAGATAACGAAGTCAATAAAACATAAAGTGAGGTTGTAAGAAGACAAAAGATCTAACTCCTTAGAAAGAGGAGCTTAACGCCGTTTCTTTAGATTCACAGTAAAAGTGAAGTTTTTTTAAAAGCTTTAGAGTGAAACTAACTTTGCAATTATTGAACTGTAGAAAAGAGCAAAGGTAAAACGATCATGAAATAAACTAAGTCCTTGAAGGAAGCAATAACAAGTGGGCTTCCATTGAGTCAGGGCTGGTGGGGGATCGGGGGGGATGCATGGCATCCTTTTAAAAGCTTCCCAGACGGTCGGGACAGGGCCGCAAGGCATAAGATACTCTCGACCAATCGTGAGCATAATATCATGTATCAAGGGCATCTTGAAGGCGAAGCAGAAAGAAGTGTGGGGGGGGGAGAGAAAGGCGGTGGGAAGAAGTTTTGAAAATACACAGCATTCTGGGGATGAGGGAATGAAACACTGCGTCATAGGCAAACAGAAATAGTCCCGTATGGTACTATTTATCATACCTTGGTTTTCAGGCACTGGATGATAGTCGCAGCCAGTCCCAGCGAACCAGGGGGGGGGGTTTGCCATTCTGAATCGGGTTTGACAATGCGGGTATCCACTAGGCGAATAATCCATGGATTCCTCATCCAGGAATGTATAAATAATGATACAGACAGAACTTTTCCCCCTTTTGAAAAGCAAAAAAAAAAAAAAAAAAAAAAAAAAAAAAAAAAAAAAAAAAAAAGTGGAGAGTAGTTACCCTTCTCCACCAAGATAGGCTAAAACTAAAATACTTTGAATAAGTCGATCCGTGGGACTGAGCAACAGAGTGGGAGCTATCAAGGGAGTTCATACATGCGCTATGTTGGCGTAAGGCAAGGAGATCGAAGAAAATTGACACCTTGCAACTGACTTTGTTGGTCGTTCAGGACGCGGGCTTCAAAGATCCTTTGGTCCTTCGATTGGGCTAGCACAGGGGTTAGGCAAACAGGCGAGATCAGGTAGAGCAGGGCAAAAAACCAATCCCGTCTTTCGTGTCCTGCGGCGTTCACTATAATAATTAATTATCAGCTTCCATGCCTGGTCCGGCTTCGCGCGCTACGATGGGCTGAACGATAACTCAGTATTCGTACTACTGATGATCGTTGTACGGGGTACGGACCATGGAAAGTGATGGTTCGTCATCCAGTGGCAGACCATTGCGTGCAGTTCAGGGTGCGCGATGTGTAGGCAGATCACAGGCCTCCACTTTAATAAGAGAATGCCGCGTGATAATTCGTGAGGCCTGTGTCAGTAGCGAGGCTACTTGAGCTCCTTGTCTGTACCTACCGTCCAAAGGATACTGCCGACTACCTCCGGCGGCTATCCAGGCCACACAGGGCTAACATTGAGTGCCGCCAATCTGGAAAGAACGGTTTCAACAATAATAATACAGGTATGGATCCACGAACGGCCAGATGGGGCAAAGATACGAGGCTTGTCCATACACTAATCGTATGTACCGCAGCGGTATAAATTACCATCAGAACGGAAATATTACCACGATGGTTCAAACAACGTACGGTACTGACACTGGCCGGTTGGATAGTTAAATGCTCTAATTCAACTAAGGGAAGTGGCACAGTTGTTAGCAGCAGCAAATCACCTCTTCTAGGCCTTACCACTCTCTTCCTTTTCTGGAGCGGCCTCCTTGGCTATTCCTTGTTTGCCTTTCTCAGTGTGAGCTTTTGTGGCGTGATTGGTAGGAAAGGACCCTTTATCCCCGTTGTGATGAGACATGGCATCCCTCCCCCGGTGAAACTGTAAAATCAAGGGTAGAAAAATAATAACAGGTGGGGAACTGAGGAGCTGGGTTTCTGATGAGTCTCATGAACAACCAGCCATTGTGGTAATATCGTCCAAACGAAACGGTACATTCAGAAATCAGTCCTAGGAACGCCACAAATTCCTTGCATTGCCGGTGCAAAAGGGGCGAAAAAGCTTGTTGTGCTCATTTCCATATGGAGGCCGGAACGGAACTATCACAAGAGCCTAGGATATCGAACTTTCGTTTAGCCTTTGGCTCTCAACAGCAACAAAGCCCTCTTCCCAGATTTAACAATGAAATGTTAAACCTGCACAACGATAACCTGCCAGGCGGCCAGTTTCTTATGGTGGTGTCAATCATCCCAATGGAAAGGTCAACCAAGTCACCAAGCTAGCGAAGAACTCGAGCGGACAGGGGGCCATCGTAAAGGATTTAATTGGCCGTTCTATGGCCCAGCCATTAGCCCCTTCTCGATGTTTTCATCCGAGTGTGCCGTGTCCAATCTGCTACCACGCTTGAAAAGAACAAATCGAGGCTGACTTGTTTGTTGGTCAATAAGCTCTTCCAAAAACTTCTTAACTTGATTTCCACCAGGGCCTGGCAGCCAGTCAGAATATTCCCCCCTCGTTTCGAACCGGCGGGGCCAGATGTGTTCCTTGGCCGTACATAGGTCAAAAGCACTAATGAGCTGCAAGTCTGTGAGATACACTCTCGTTGGCTTCCACCAGTTGACTATGACGTATGGGATCGGCAGAAGCTAGATAGGATGAAAATCCTCAACTAGTAGAAGCCGCCCCTTAGATTTCCCACAATGTTCTTCCGCTTGCACTGTGGAGAAGCTGACTTCATATGAAGCGCATTAGTCAATGAAATCTCATTCACTTTCAAGGGAACCGCCGCTCTAATAGCATCAGGTGCCACTCACTTCCAAAGAGTATCAAGTAAGAACGTAAAGAGATCGCGATAGTTTACGCTGCGAAATGACTGCTGGCAGCGTCCGGCCGCACACCCCTTTGATTGATTACCTGGCAGACCAACTCGCAGTAGCGGGACATCCGAAGAACCGGGCAGGAGAGTGATTGTCAAACTTTGGGTGCGCTAAACCAGGCGCTTAATTGTCCAAGGGCTGGAGGTAGTCCGGTCCAAAATAGGAAATGATAGGAGATTCCCCTGCAGCCGCGCGCTCTCTCGTGGCACAGTGCATGCTTGGCGCGCTTTGACATCACTTTGGCTGCACCCTTCGCCGTCATCACACTTCGCCCTGCTGCATGATGCATCTGCGAGAACCCAATAGGATCGTTGCCTTGGATGGTTCACAGATATTTTGAGGTTTGCCTTTTTTCCTCAAACTGCCGCGGCCGCTGCCTTGAAAGTGTACAGTTCGATTCCTGCTAGAAAAGAATGATCAACGTACGGTTCAGACATTATCACTCAAATGCGTCTCCGTCACAACCTCGGGAAAATTATAGAGGCGCAGGCGGATTTATGCCAAAAATGCATATCATCACACTTCTCAAGCAATGCCACCCCTGCTTCGGTGTCGGTGTCGGTCTCGCTCTCTCAGTATCACGCGTTTTAACGCTGATTTTGTGTCAGGTGATCACTGAACAATAATGGACACGCCAGATAAGAAAGCGATGGAAAAACAGGGAAACTGACAGCCCAAGATCTTTGCATGCCTGCCGCCTGAAAGCCTACGACGATATTTCATCTGAAGAAGCAGGGCGCCGGCGGCATCGAACGTGGGGGGAAAAAATTTCCGAATAGTGGAGCGGGTGGATGTGAGTAAATCCGTTAAGTTTCTGCTACTTGTTCGCTCAAACCTCTCTTGATTCCCCCATCGTTTGGCGTTGGAGCAGAGCCTGAATACGCTGCGTAGGATGAAACTAATAATCCTACGAAATGGTACAGACAAGAATCACCCTCATTGGTAATGCATGTAACAGATGGGCGTCGTCCCGAGGTGACAGCAAGATTGCAGGCAGCTTGGACGCACCGATAACCCGGATAGCCCATGCAAGCGTTGCGCAAAGGTTATGCTAGTCAGGTTGACCCAGCAGTCTGGGATTTTTGCGAGGTCTGGTGGCCCAATCACCTCCAGCTTTGAGCCGAAGTCTTGTGTTGTTTCCTCGAATGAGTGCAGACGAAATTGTGTTTTCATTGGCCAATTAACATGTGGCGATCGACAAATCATCAGTTGATGTCTTTTACCGAAGGCAGTCAACTTCTTCCACCTTCCCTGTATTGAAGCTACGTGGGACCCTTGAAGGCTGGCTGAGTCCAACAAAAATCGCATTTTCACGGATAGAACAAGAATTACTGGACCAGTCCTGAATGCATCTCAGGCAAAACATGTTAATTGGCCAAGCACAAAGAACAGCACCGTCATTTTCACATTTTCAAAGAAACTTGCCCACACGTGTTCGGTTTGGCTGAACAAATGAGACGAGCGCATCAATTGAAGGGCGCGAACTCAATAAATTTTCTCTACTCCTGATTTCAAGGGGGAAAAACAACCAAAAATTCGAGGCTATAGAGATGGCGTCATTATTACTCCGCGTCTGTCAAAAACTATCTTGGTTGTATTATTCCCAAAGAAAGTACGATTACACAGGAATATCAACCCCGGGTTGGAAATTGTCATTAGGTTTGGAGCTATCGACCCGTCCTCACCCGGAAGCCGCAACTAGAATCCCAGGATGCAGTGAGACTTCAATTCTACTTCCAGACCGCTCATCACCTCGTGTTCTCTTTTTGCTTGGTGAAAGATTGGGTTAAGCTGGCTGTCAGTCCACTGGTTTTTCGTCGAACTTTAAAACGTTCTTCCCCGGGTACAAGGTTCCGGTCCCGCGGTGACGGATCCTTAGCGCAGCGACGATGAACTCACGTCTCCACTAGGTAGACCCAAGCGAGGGCTAGTGGGTCATGTGCTGAATTAGACCTCCGGCCCTAGCATCCGTCGCCCAATGCTCCGTGCTCCTGCTTCATGTGTACCAGACCGTACTAGTCTGCGTAACGAAACTGTTCATTACTATGAACGATTCTGTCACGTTATGTATCGGTATGTCCAGCTGGTACGATGCCTGACCATTATTACATACAAGCCCAAAGCCGCTCGCTTGGAGGAACATTCGCAGAGTATGACGTTTTTGTTGGTTCGCAGCCTCCGACTCTCATTTGTCGCTGGTCGGGCTTGTGGTGCGCATATGCCAAGCCATCTCAAAATATCAGGGCTTCTTTCTCCAGCTCCCTGACCAATCACTCCAAGCCTCTCCGACAAAATCCCGCGACAATGAACCCACATTCCGACGTTCCGCCTCGTCACCGCGACACAAAGGCGAACCGAACCGTGTTGCAATAATAATGCCTTTACTTCCAGGCTCTTTTGAACGCGTATCAGGTGAAAAAAGGGAGCCAGCAAGTCATCCAAACGTTGTTTAACATGTGCCGCGAGGTGAGGCAACCTCCACTCTTAATAATGAGCTTAGCCTGGCCACGATGCAGACTCCACTTTTGCTTGATGCATGAACCACTTTGAACACCTCAGTTCCTTGAGCATCATCGATTTGTAGGCCAATGCATCATTACACGTTCACAGCGAAACCTTCGAGACTTTCTATGCTGAAGGCGTGACTCGGCGATTTCTTGTCTTCGTGAATTTTCTAATGCAGCGATTGGAGGCAACTGGAAGATGGGTAAATGATAACCTTGCACCCATAGCAGTACTCGCGGCCCGAAAAAATAAAACACCAAGGTTGAGAGGTAATAGATCACACAAATACTAAAAACTGAATATTGAAAATAAAGTGAAGTGAAAGGCAATTCTCATTCGACAACTGAGGAACAAGCTGGTCAAGGTCCATAATTCCCAAGTTCACAAGAGTCCCCCTCTATTACCATATGGTCATGTGCTTCAAAAAATTTCTTCAGAGACCAATTGTCAGAGAATGGTTTTAATACGTGTTGACAGCTCATCCTTCCTCGGGACTGTTGGAGTTCCAGAAGGTTGAGGATGATCAGAACCCTGAGGAACTGGCGAACCCTGGCGTGAAATGAATTGACTGCATGTAGCTGGACGCTATCGTTGGGCGCTTGCAGATTCGTTGAAGATCCTTTCAAGGTGTTTGTGTAACGCACTTCCCAAAGGCTTGTGCTGGAAGGATGTTCTTATCGCCTAACCGGCGGCGTGCAAATCACTTATGACCTGAAACAAAGCAATCAGAAGAACTGGCGACCGTCGTTCGCCCTTCGGGCATTTGGCTGATCCATCCGGACCTTATCCCCAAATACCAACTGTCTCACGAGACACGTCTTGCATCTGAAGAAAATGAGATGCTGCAGAAGGGATGATGCCATAAATTGCCGTTGAATTCTGGGCTGCAGAAGATTCGTTGCATTGATCTAACCAAGTATTCTGTGGACAGTTATGGGTGGCTGAGAGGCGATGACGACTTTCGACTAAGATTAGTACATGCATCATTTGCCCACGAATCCCGGAGTTGGAATCTTGCAAACATTTATTATTCCTGCATCCTCTCCCTGACAGGCTTGCTTGGCTAACGACAGATTGGCAGCTTTTAGTTGCGTGGCGTGGGAGAGCATAATAATGCCAGCCATAACTGTGAAGAACAATGCAACAGAGATTGAGACGGGCGATCAGATAATAAAAATCTCGCAAGGCAAAGCTCAAAGTACTGAACATATCAAATAATGTGAGATGTCTCATTCATTCTAAAGTGGCCTGCTCTTTGCCTTCCCTTACTAGGGTTTATGCTCCCCACCCCTGCCATAGGCGGTTAGTTATAATCTGCTCGTTACGTCTTTCTTTTCCTATTTGGCTGGCTCTTCTTTTTCTTTTTCCCTTTTCCGTTTCCCTTTTTACAGTTTTGAGGTAGGTAATATTTTACGGATAAGTAATTGCAGCAACAAGCTCTAGCGTCGGCGTCTTGCAAATTCCTCTCCTATAAAAGCACAGTATCTCAGCATCAACAAGTGGAAATGAATTATGAAATACTGTTTACAGGGTGCCAGACATCCTCAATACTGGGCCCATGGTCCTCCTTCTACCCTCCTAGGCAAACACGACGAGAAGCTTCCTAAGCCTAAAATGATGATTGGGGGTATGCAACACATAGCATAGGGTAGGTTAACAAGAAGTGATCGCGTATTATGTAATATACTTCTAGAAGCCCTCTCGAAGCCAAGTCACGTGTTGGGTATCAAAGCCGAAGCTTCAACCTTGTCGTTCCTGAAAAGCAGCTTTATCAGTTCAAGAAATATGTCAACCCTGCTTGGCCATTCTCAGGTGCGCAGAAAGGGTCTTTTGAGCATCTCCCACTGCCTCGACTCCAATTAGCCGAGCTGACAGCACAACAAATGAAATAAGGGTTAAAGAACCCGGTTGTCCTAAAACACAGGCTGGCTGGCGTTGAGTTTTAAAGCAAAGGATGAGCCCAGGAAGCGGCACGTCGCAGCTAAGGCAGACTTTAATGCCGTTTCTCTATCCTATGCTGTCGAACTCCATACCTAAACCCACCTCCGCGGCAATTTCAAGCAGAAAACTCCTACGATTCTCCTCTACGGCGACCACCAGACGACTTAACAGCACTCTACATGGGCGCAGCGAGATTAGATTTCCCCACCCAAAGCCATTCGCCAGAGACAAACCCTATGATAACAGCCACTTAAATCCTTGTCCGTCCGATTATTCCCGCTCGATTTTCCAAGACCGCTGCACCTTAACGATCCACGCTGGATCGGGGGGTAACGGCTGTGTTTCGTTCCTTCGAGAAAAGTACATTGATGATGGACCTGCGAACGGAGGGGATGGTGGGAGCGGAGGAAATATATTCATACAGGCGGTAGAAGGTCAAACTAGTCTTCACAAACTCGCGAGAAAAGGAATAATCAAGGCTGGGCACGGTAGGAGTGGCCAAGGAAAGTCTAAAGGAGGGCAGCGGGGTAAGGATGTGCTGTTACAGGTGCCTGTCGGAACCGTCGTCCGCGAGATCGGGCGGCTTGATCCCCTGGAAGAGGAAGAGCGCCGGTTGGCAGAACTTATCCGTGAAATGGGAAAGGATGAGGGAATGCGCGTTGCGTCGGAACGGCGGGAACGATGGGTCTTTTATCCCGGTTCGCAACCTTCTGATTTCCTCACGGAAGACTTTCCAGTGCTGCCACCTGCTCGTCGCTCTGCGCTAGCTGCCACACAACCCAAGGCACCCATTTACCTTGATCTCTCAGAGCATATGCCGGACCCGATATTGCTTGCCGCAGGGGGGGTTGGCGGTCTAGGAAATCCGACCTTTGCGTCCAACACGAACCCAAAGCCCCGGTTTGCAACCAGAGGTGAAAAGGGACTAAAACTAGAGCTTGAATTCGAGCTTAAATTACTGGCTGACGTTGGTCTTGTTGGGTTACCAAATGCTGGGAAGAGTACGCTTCTTCGTTCAATTACAAACAGTCGAACTCGAATTGGGAATTGGGCATTCACCACCCTCTCCCCGAAGATCGGCACCGTTGTGATCGATAATCACTCGGGACGTCCTCTTGTCGAGCCTAAACCGGGCCATCCTCGGCGGACCAATTTCACCATTGCGGATATCCCAGGGTTGATAGAGGGAGCACATCTAGACAAAGGCCTCGGTCTTGGCTTCCTCCGTCACGTCGAGCGAGCAGGTGTTCTGGCATTCGTCATCGACCTTAGCGCAGGTGACGCTGTCCAGGCGCTAAAGGGGCTTTGGCGGGAACTGTATGAGTATAACCGACTTCGAGAGCGGGATCTAAATCTTCAAACAGAGGAGCGGCTAGTCTCATGGATCCCGCTGGATGATCCCTCATCAGAGCAATTTGCCGACGAATTCGGCGGCGCACAGCAGCTCACGCCACCCACCTTGACTCCATCCCAGCGTGATGTCTCCGCCAAGAGTCTTCCGCCTATGTATACGAAGCCGTGGTTTGTCATCGGGACCAAGGCGGATCTTCCAGAAACGCAAGAGAACTATATAGATTTGCGTTCCTATCTGGAAGAGGTCGAAAACGGCATGGTGGAGCATCCGTCCGGTCAACAAAATGCGTGGCGAGGCAAGTTGTATTCCATTCCTGTTAGTGCTATCAATGCGCAAGGAGTCAAATCCATACCGGAGAGAGTGGTACGATTATTAGAGGACTATTGACAGAATAATATGTGGTGAGACTTTTGTGGGTTTACGTACTATAAGATGTATTTTTATATAGATATTTTGGATATAGTTATCCTCCACAAGATTACGATACCTCTTTTCTATCGCCTAACTTTGTTTCATCAAATCTGATAACATGCAAAATAACATTGCCATTGGATTGCTGGGCCTACATTGAATCTTCACGAACAAGATTATCAGATTATGCCAATTGCCCAATAATAATATTTATGAACAATAAACATCCGCTGACACTTTCGACAACCCTTCCTGTAATAATGGCTGACCCGTGGTACTAATCAAAGATCTAGGCACTATATATATATACCACGCTTTTTTTTTTTTTTTTTTTTTTTTTGTTAATTCTGGAGGTGTCTGCTTATGTAGTGATTTCTTATCAGGACCTCGCTTTTCCGATCGTAATTACGAATTCGACACGTGGAAGTCAATGATTAAAGCACGCTTCAGCTCGGTATTTCACGAAATATTTCGGTACTGAAGATCCCTACGTATCACTCCCTAGGAGCGAATTTATTCTCCTGATCTCTTAATTTTAGAGAGCAATGCCTTGGAATGCACAAGCTTAACTACACCCCTGCCCCCCAAAGCCATGAGCAGCATATCTCGTATCTGTCCACACCCGTGCAGAAGTGTGTCAATCCTGGGTTGATTGATCCAAGAAACAGAGGGACTACAGATCCCTAAGCCTTTTGAAGGATGCGATATATATCCACTTCGCACGAGACTTCCTCCCGGAGACGGTATGCTGTCCCTTTTCCAACCACTATGCTGCCATAAGGAACGCGGATGATCTTAAAAGGTGGCCCATAAGAACCACTGACTCCGAATGGGGCGCAATTGTTGTAGAGATCTTCATCTAGTTGCTGGCATACCAGGCGGACTGCACTAACGGTGGTTGCTCCCTTGTTCTGCTCGGTGCAGCCCAAAATTAAGGCAATGATCCCACACGGCCCCCTGTTGAAGGTCAAGCAAGCACTTCTGAGGGTAAAATTCCACAGCGTCCTGGGGCCTGTGGTCATGGCAATCGTAGCTCGGCTGGCGTGGCTGTCTCTTGCGTCCACTCGCCGCTTGCATAGGAGCTCGGGGTTTGTTCGTGTGCGCCGCGACTGCATCAAATTGAAAGGAGTTTTTGGACTGGCGTATTCTCAATGCCATCTAGAAACATTCTGTCTCTTCCAAGGTTACATGGCAGGAGCACTGGCGGAAGACAAAGATCAGAGCCAGGACAAGAGCTCAAGTTAAAAACGCGACGGCTGGAGGCGCGACAAGCGCCGAGGCGAACCGAACTCGAAGCAGGAGAATAGATTTTCCGAAGCATACTATGGTTGGTTCAGTCTGGAAGCCGACTGCCAACCTCTATCTACACTTTCATATATGGGGCCTTCATTTATTACCTGATGCAGTCAATCGACCGCTTGACTCGTTTAGCTCTGTCCACGATATCGTCACCGCCTCCAGATGACCCGATCTGCGAGTGCTTCGATGGTGACTCCGAGAAGCTCGTTTTCGCTCTCCTCCAAGACACCGACAATGCTCTCGCCCTCGCGGACACTAAACTACGCGTGTTCCCATTTAAAGACGTGAAGGCCTGCTGGAGACGGCTCTATACAGACACTAGCATCGTAAAAGTATGCAACGCAATCAGAAAACACCAAGGCTACAACGACAACGGCGAGGTCTATGGCTGTAAACTGGTGGCGCAACAGCAGCAAAAAGTTGACCACCAGACCTCGAAAAACGGACATGCACATAAGCAAGATGTGATTAGCGATTACAGGAGGATTAGTTCAGATGCGCCATGGCTGTCACCGGCCATACATACTCTTGACAGAGCACTGATCATGACCGGCGCTCCGCGCAGAGAATCACTCATTGAATCGCTTATAACATGCCTACAAGACCTGACTGATTCTCATCCATCGACCAGGCCATTCGCACTCTTCTTTAACAAACCCGATCAGTTCGAGGGCCACACTGAACTTGAGCAAAATGAGCAACCTCCACCCCTAAAACGTAGAAGACTAATAACTCCGCCTCTCTTTCCCCCGGATACAGCCCCCGCTCCGAAGCTAGGACGGCCAATTCGTCGCCTCTCCGCCCCATCCCTCGAACGGTTCACAGAGCATATGAATAACATCCGCGTACCACTAGTCATCACGGATGCAGTGAATCACTGGCCTGCACTCTCGACACGACCCTGGTCATCCCTCGACTACTGGGCCCAACGGACGTATGATGGCCGGAGACTGGTCCCTGTGGAGGTGGGTCGGTCCTATACAGACGAAGGATGGGGGCAGCGTATCATGCCGTTCGGAGAGTTTGTGCGAGATTACATATGGAGGACGGAAAGTAGCGGTAAGGGGCCCGGTGATGGGAATAAAAGTGGGGGTGATAATGGTGACCATGTAGCGAATGGTAGGGATCGAGAAGGCCCAGGAGCAGCAGGTGAAACTGGTTATATGGCGCAGCACGATTTAATGGCGCAAATACCTGCGCTGAGAAATGATATTTGTATCCCAGACTACTGCTATACAGATCCCCCAGCGCCGGAGCCCGGGACACCCTTATATGAGAAAAGATTACGCGAGAATATGGCGAGAGATAAAGACGGGCTGTCCAAAAAGAAACTCAGGAATACTCTGGGTGACGAGGAGAAATATCAGAACCAAGGTGGAAAGTCTACCGATAATAGTGAAGCCGAGAGTGAAGCAGACGATACCCTCTCTGACCCAATCATCAATACATGGATAGGCCCTTCGTGGACGATATCGCCACTACACCATGATCCGTACCACAACATCCTCGTTCAAGTCGTCGGACAGAAATATATACGGCTATACTCACCTCATACACCCGCGTCGCAAATATATCCTCGCGGTATGGAGGTGGTTAATCCCGCATCCTCTTCACCGCAACAGCAGCAACATGCAGACAAAGAAACGGTCGTTCAGGTTCAGTCGCAGGGGAAACACCAGGAAATTGACATGTCTAATACATCGCAGGTGGATCTGGCTGCTATCGAGATGTCCCCAGCTGAATCTGAGACCTGGGATTCGATGTGGCCTAGGTTTTCAGATGCGGAGTATGTGGAGACGGTTTTGAAAGAAGGAGAGTGTTTGTACATACCTATTGGCTGGTGGCATTATGTGCGCGGCTTGCGGGCGGGAATCAGTGTGAGTTTTTGGTGGACGTAGGTTTTCGATGCTATACCTGTTAGATTGTATCTACATAACCATTCCCTGGCTGTTTCGCCAACGGGCCACTTACGAGGATATAAACTATTATGAATGCTACACATACATGCACTGTATTCAGTCGAAAATAAGTGATTCTGGTGGGCAGGAGGAAATACATATCAAACCGGCATAAGGGCTGTATACGAGGTATCTCTCCTTGGAGTATCCAACACAGGTGAGGAGATAGACCAAAACCACTATCCCAGATTACACTTAGCATAACAAAAAAAAAAAAAAAAAAAAAAAAAAAAAAAAAAAAACCACGAAACACGAAACACGAAACACTTAAAACCCCTCTCTACGTGCCAACTATTATGCCATCCCTCCCATTCGTACCAACATAAGCGGCTTCCCAGCTTCAATGGAGTCATTTGGCTTGACCAAGATCTCCTCCACAACTCCTCCAGCAGTGCTGGGATCGGCCTGCACAGTGATCTCCAGCTTCATGGCCTCTAGGATCGTCACGACTTGGTTTGCAGCAATCTTATCTCCATCCTTGACTTCAATCTTCCACACGTTGGCCTTCAGTGGCGTCTCAATAACAGTGATGTTGGGATCAATGAAGAGTTAGCCGTGAGTCTCATGCACGTATGGGACCTAGAAAAAGGTCCAAGTGGAAGGAGAGTGAAGAGGAAAGGGATGTCGGCATAGTCAGTTACATTCCCTCCAGCAAGGCTGCTACTGAATCCATAGGGATTTCACCAGCTGCCTTCTCTGCGGTCCAACGCTCCATCAACTCAGCTTCAAGCTTAAGCATTTCCAACTGCGCTTGCTGCTGTCGCGCGGATTTTTGCAACTTCGTCCTTGGTACCCCCCAACAAGCGGTTATGCTCCGCCATGTCGAACTCAACGTGTTCCCACTTATACTCATAACGGCCACTGCGGAATTGAGCCATGCCTCTTTCGTATTCCTCCTCCGTCACTTTGTAGGAGGAAATTTGATCAAAGTCTTCATAGGACCATGGCTTCTCTGGTGAATAGCCTGCTTTGGAGCCGAGGATGTCAACGCCCGGGATGGACAGGCCGGTCAGTTGGTAGCCTCCTGGCGATTCGACGTTGTAAAGTCTTTCGTATGGGACAGCGAGGTTAGTTTTGATACTTTTTAGACACAACAAAGGGAAGGACATGGGCTGTCTCGACTTACGCCATGCAAGAACCTCCCCATGACACTTGACCTTCTGGGGTGAAAACACAACTAGGGTTCATCTTTGGGCAGTTCATGCGCTGACGGGGGTCCACCGTAAGTGACAATGGCAGAGCAGTAAGAAGTCTACGGCAATAACCATGAAGCTAGCAGTGAGATAGATGTTCTCGGCGACGAAATCCATATTATCGGGGAGATATGACGCGTATGGACGTTGAGTTTCCATGTAGCGCTGGAGTGCCGCAGTTTGTCTCTTGCTCTCGAAGGTAAGAGGAAGTTTGAAGACGCTTCGACTAGGCATCTTTGCCTGGCTTAGATCTCCAAGTTCAACTTCAAGCTCGCATAGATAATCAATCAACTTCCTTTGAGGGATCTTCAAACCATCATAATACAGCGAGAGAGCTATATAATGGTCAGCTAAATGATTTGTGTATGCAGTTATTTTCGTTTAAACTTACAATTGCCACATCCAACTGTTCCAATCAATCCCGTTGAAAAAGTTATGTCTCCTTTTGCTTCCCTTAGCGCCTTTATGAGAGCAGTGACCCTACAACGAATGGTTGAGATCAAAGGCACCATGTCCATAATCAATAAGAACATAGTCATCGCCGCCCTGAATAATTTTAGTGAGTGGCGCGAGCTGAAGGCGAATTTCAGATTTTAACTCACCTGCCTATAAGACACAAGAGGCTGTGTCTTTCCATTTTCCGGAATCTGATGAATAATAATAGCCTTGGGGCATTGGGCGGAGTCTTTTGGCTCTGGAAGATTGCTGTAGTCTAATGGTGAAATCTCCGCAAACCTGGCCTTCCCCGAACAACATGCAGCTACTCTGCCCACGAAGTCCTCAACTCGGCGTCGCAAGGAAAGCGCATCTTCCAATGTAACCCTTCTGTACTTAATCGAGGCTCCCGCTTTCATTTGTCCCATTCGCCAGTAATCAGCCTTGACAATTGTGGTGCTGGAAACGAACCCGCCAAAGTCGGGGCAATCAACAGGGAATACGCATGGGTCATGGCCTGTCCAGTTGAGCGTGCCCATTGGGTAACCATATTCTATGAGATTACTTGGGTGAGCGCTGCCTTCGCCGCCGTGAGGGCGAGCCCACCTTGGCTTTGGTCCAATAAGCCTAATTCCTCCTCTTGTAGCATTGTGAGAAACCTTCTAGGTAACGCGGTAAAACTCCTAGATGTGAATGAGCAAGAGAGATGTTGTCCTGAAACCACTTCGAGCTTAATGTCCGTTGGTCAAACTGGAATGCAATCTGTGTGAGCCCTTGTTTAACTTGGAGGTGTGCAAACATAGCACGGGCAATGCTAGCAGCCGATGCGACGCATATTCATAAAGTGTTGGGTCACCAGGGGCTCTGCAAACAATGGTGAACGCGATGTTGGGCATGGTGGCAGAACGACGAAAGGATAAGCAAAATTGACACTGATAAATAAACAAACAGGGTTCAAGCTGGGGAAGTACTTTCGCCAGCCATCAAGGGGCTATCGAGGAGTTTGGGGGCTTGTGATGGAAAGAAAATGAATCGAGGGGTAAGGCATCTGGAGGGTATTTATGTTCTCCAATACGGCTTGTCCGAAGCAGCCTCAGTCGCAATGCTCGTTCCAGAAGGAAAGTTTGTCCTCTCGCTCGCTTTCACAGATACCATCAACCATATCCTTCCCGGAATTGAAGGACCGGAGGCCTTGCAGCCTGTGACTAGGCCGGGCATCCCCTCTCCAGACCGCGTAACCGCTCGGGACCTTTTCTGAATAACTATTGTCCTTATTGCCCTTCATTGTCCTTATTGTTTTGAAACATAATAATGAATTTAATGCGATGCACGTTGTCCGAGAAGATTGGTTCAGCGTTGGGAGGACAGGGCCTTTGGGGACGCATATTCGAATCACTAGTTCAGATCCGGGGCGCTTTGCCTGTTTGCTTGGTAGGGTAGCAAGAGATTCCCTACACTGAGGAGTAGTTTATTTATGCCGTATGGTGGATATGCTCGCAGAATTCGAACAGGTATGCAATGCAGGCCAGGCCGGCCTTGTGGTGAGCGGCAAACATCCAATGCTGTTGTCAGTGCAGTGGTCAGAACTTCTAGGTAGCACATGTTAGATCTAACCACGATGCAGATGATAGAACTTGGAACATCTTGGTGTTTCATTGAATGAACCAGGACCTTCGCTCACCAAGCGCTTATTTAGCACAATGAGGATCAAAGATTTCCCCTCCTTCCATAAATTCACGGTTTGAATTACATCAAGCATTATTTCTACATTCGTCGTCATGTTGAAAAAGACGACTTTTGGAATTCAAGACCATGCCTGAGCGTCCGACGTCGACACAAAGCCTGGCAACAGCTGGGCTGGAGAATTTGTCCCCACAGCACTTCGAGGTTTTGCAACAGGCCTTGTGGACAATCCTCTCCACGGACCTGGCCACGGAGACATTTGCCCAAGTTGTTGACGGCCGTCCCACGCGTGATGTCTATCAAGACTACGTCTACGAGTTTCGCAAAAGCTTCCACAACAATATTCATCCAAGTGATGCAGCTCTGGAGGCAGTCGAGTCGTGCCGTCGAGATCTGGATCTTGGTAGTCTTCAATCAGTGCAGAGGTATAGTACATTCAGAGCCAAGCTTTCTTGTCGGATTGGGTGTCACGGATGAATATGTTGAAGACATATGAATCTTATCTGTATCAAGATCTGCTTGTTATATTATCTGTACACTATCTAATATATCTATTTCATACAAAAGATGGAGCTATTTATAGTAAAATATATGTGCGAGCCAAGAGAGCTAGTATAAGTGAGTATTAGATGAGTGTTGTAGTAAGCTGATGATGATGAGAAATATTGTAGTAATATGATGTTGATGGTGTTCAGTAATACAATGTTGGTGGTGTTCAGTAGTGTATAACCTCTTTTTTCTGACACACCCTCTTCAGCAAATGTAACATGTAAATGAAAATGTAAATGAAGCTACAACAAAAAGAGTGTAGATGAATCTGTAGAGATTATATCAAGATAGATCATTTAATCTGCTTGCACCTTGATGATATCTGATATATCAACTAGGCCTAGCATCTTGACAAATTCTGTATGTTTCTGGTGTGGCAGAGCCTTAGTGAGGCCATTTGCTGGCATCTGGGCTGTAGGCACCTAATCAACTGTAATATCGCCAGATTGAACATGTTCTCAGAGCCAGCTTTCATATATATCAACATGGCAGAGCTTTGTGGTTATAGAGGGGTCTTTCTTTGTAAGAATGTCAACAGTTTGATGATTATCATATTGAATACAGATCTTATGATCAGATTCAAATTGAATATGTTGAAAGAATCTATTTCATCAGATAGACTTCTTATCAGCTCATGAGATAGTAACAAGCTCAGCTTCTGTGATAGATGTAGTTATAATTATCTGTCTATTTGATTTCCAATCAACAGTCTCACTGAATAGTTTGAAGATATATTCTTATGTAGAGTAATAATCTGAATTATCTGTGAAAGAGACATCACTGACAGCTTCAATGATATCAGGTTTGAGATCAAGTTGTAGAGGTCTGCCAATGTTATCATTATATTGAATAGTGAGATTCTTTGTATTGTGTAGATAAGATATCATTCTATTCATCTCTGATAAGTAATGTTCTGATGAATTTGTCATGAATATAGCTAGTTTACTCACTGCATATGTGATATCAGAGTGAGTCATTATCACTGAGTAGATGCAGAAGCTGATATATTGTTGATAATGATGAATTTTTATAAATCTAGCTGGCTTGTTAAAAGGCTTTAACAGAGCATCAGTTAGTGAGATATATGCCTTGCAGATGTGTGTGAGATGATATGTATCAACTATCTTATTAATATAGACATTCTGACATAGCCAGAGCTTCAAGTTGAGGTGATTGTGTATTATTCACATGTTGAGAAATCATTTCAAATCTCCCATCTATCAGATCTCATAGATGTTTTTAAGATCTTCAATTAGTTAATCTCTTTCTTTTGAATCTTCTCATTGCAATAGAATGATGATATTATTCATATAGAAGAAGATGATTAATTGATCATTAGAGAAGAGACATTGATTCTCTGATATAGAGATGAAGTCTAATATTCTCAATGTTAAAGATAGTTCATTTAACCAGAGAAGAAGTGATCTGTGTAATTCATATAGTACTTGTAGAAGTTTTAACACATGATTTATACACTTCAAATTTTACATCTTCTTCAACTTTCATTATTCATCAGATAGTTTCATATATACTAGCTCATTAATATCACTATTAATAAAGATATTGATTTCATCTAGCTGTTTCACATCTAGATCAAATGCTGCTGTTAAAGCTAACAAGATTCAGAGATCTCTGACAGCTAGTATGTGAGTTTTTATAGTGAGATCTGTGATTGATTGAAGATCTCTGTGTACACAGATGTGAGCTTTGTATTTCAAAAGAAAACCTTCATCATTGAATTTGTAGATGAATACTTATTATAGAGGAATAACTGAGACATCTCTCTGTGATCTGCTAGTAATTTCATATGTATTCTGCAGAGATATACTATCTCATTTCTGCTTAACAGTATTCTCAAATTCTTTATAATGTGAGTGTTTTTTGACATCTGCTCAATGATTTAATGAATCTGGCATTTGAAATCTATGAATTCTTGAAGTTGATATGAATGCTGTTGATGTAGCTGTATTATTGATAACTATGAAAACAGTATTAGAAATTAAATTTTGAGACTTGTTGAAGTCTGTGTGTGAATTTGAATGAGAGAATGCATCATTGATCATTTAATAAGAATTGTCTTTGACAATTGAAACTGTCATAAGATGAGCAGCTCTGTGTTTTCAGGTTCTGTGATCATCAATGATATTTGCTTCATCAAAGTCAGTACTGATATCATGAGCTCTAGATGCAATGTTCTGTGTTCTATTATCTATCACAGCTGAATGAGTATTAATATCAATATCAGAACCTGTTGACTCTGGTATTGAATCTAGTGTAGAAAGAATTGAAACATTATTTTTCTCCTCTATTTTTTCAGAGCTTTGAGTATTTTCTTTGAGATGGAAAACATCAATATCTGCATCTATAATCTCTTTCAATTGATTGATAGTAGTCATCAATGATTCTTGAACTTTCATATGTAGAAGCTTCACCTTCTTAGATACTCAATCTCTTAGTTGTCTTTTAATGTAGAGGTCTTCTAAGTTGAATTTTCTATTCTCATCAAACACTACATCTCTTGCTCTTATCACCTGTTCTAAGTGTGGAATTCAAATTTGATAGATGTTTGTTAAATCATATTCAACTAGATATTCAATATATGCTTGAGAATCTAGCTTCTGAGAGCAGTTTCTATTGAGGACTTCATCTGATATCTTTGCATAGATGTGACATCTGTAGATTTGAAGATGAGCACAGAAGTGTGATTCAATTTGTAGAAATTCTTTCAATGCTTATAGAGATGACTTTCAATCTAGAATTCTAGTTGAGGTTTGATTTGCTAGATAGGTGACAGCAAGTGCAATCTCAGAGAATAGTGATTATGATAGAAGAGATTCTATCTGTAGAGTTCTTGCCTTTGTTATTAATATTACTCCTGCTCACTCTGCTGCATTATTTTGTTCATAAATATACTCTGAAAAATACTTCATCTCTAGGTTCTCATCATTCACTCAATTTGTGAAATCATCTGCTTTCTTGATTGCAGTATCATTGTTAATACAAATGATCTTTGTAGTACAGTTGAATTGATATTTAATTCAATTGATAGCTTGCTTAAGAGCTTTTCAGATTTCTGATTTTCAGATAGCTGTTATAGCTATATGGAAATGTAGATAATCACACATGAAATGTATGAGATAATACTCACTATTATAGCACTGTGTAGGGCCATGTGTAATATCCGCGTGTAGGCATTTGAATGGTATTTGAGATCTAATGTGAGAATGTCTAGATATTTGATTTTTTGCATTAGATAGATGACAGGGTTTGCAAAGCTCAGTGATAAGCTCATCTGCAGCATCTTCTA